CTGAGTACATGGCATCCATTATATCACTATCACCTCCTGGTTCTCCTGAGTCCTCTTTGAGGCTGAAAAGTGGAAGCCCAACCACATAAAAGGGTACATGTAAGGCAAAGAACAAAGCTAACCATCTATTCTCAAAGTTGACTGGAAGTCCTGGAATGTCAAAGTTCCTTCGGAACCTCAGCTCTTCCCTGACCACCTTCCCGTGAGGCGCGTGAGCGTCAACAGCTTCGGCTATGGCGGTACCAACGGCCACGTCATCGTTGAAGGCGTCCAGTCTCTTGTTCCGGGCTACACACACGGTCAAAAGAAAGCCGGCGCGAAAGGCGCCGAGCGCGGAGTCTTCAGCCAGAGACGACCCTACCTGCTCCCCTTCTCGGCGCACGACAAGCCGACTCTGATGCGGAATCTGGAAGCCTACGCCAAGGCGGTCGGGGACTACAACCTGCTCGACCTGTCTTACACCCTGGCCAACCGCCGTTCCAGACTGCCGAGCCGCGGTTTCGTGGTGAGCAGCCCCAGCAGCGTGGTCAACGACTTTGCCAATATCGCGGAGAAGTTCGCCTTCGCGGACAAGAAAAAGGCGCCCGCCATCGGCTTTGCCTTCACTGGCCAGGGTGCGCAATGGGCGCGCATGGCAACGGATCTCATGCTCTACTACCCGAGTGTCTTGCGCACCATCCGCAAGCTGGACCAGGTGCTGGGCGATCTCCCCAATGGCCCGGATTGGACATTGGAAGACGTCCTTCAGGAAGATGCGTCGACGTCTCGGATCAACGAAGCAGAATTCTCTCAGCCGTTGTGTACTGCGGTTCAAATTGCCATTGTCGAACTTTTGCAGTCCTGGGGAGTCATGCCATCGGTCGTCGTCGGTCATTCATCGGGCGAGATTGCTGGCGCATACGCCGCCGGCCTGATCGGTTTCAACGAAGCCATCGTCGCGGCCTACTTCCGTGGAAGGACCGTAAGGGACATCAAGACCAACGGAGCCATGATGGCTGTCGGACTGGGCTCTGAGGCCGTTCAGAGCTATCTTTCCGACTCCCAGGGCCGCGTCGTGGTGGCATGCCATAACTCACCTGCTCTGGTGACACTGAGCGGTGATGCCGATGCCCTCGAAGCCGTAAAGGAACGGCTCGACAAAGACAAGGTCTTTGGGCGCATGGTCAAGACGGGCGGGAAGGCTTATCACTCTTTCCATATGGAACCGGCAGCAGGAGCTTATAACGCTCTCCTGAGCGAGGCCCAGTACTATATGGACGCCCCTGAGAGAAAGGTCACCAAAGCAGTCATGGTATCCTCGGTCACCAACGAGCCTTTGGACCCAGAGACGCCCCTGGGTGCTCATTACTGGTGCTCCAACCTGATCAGCCCCGTCAAGTTTGAGCAAGCCGTCCAGACGATCGGTTCTCTCCCAAGCTTCAAGGACGCTGATCTCCTCTTGGTCGAGATTGGCCCTCACTCTGCCCTTCAAGGACCCATTAAGGCCATCTGCCGCGAGTACAAGCTGGAGCGGATGAGCTATCTCCCGACCATGGAGCGCGGTGGGAACTCGGCATTCCAGCTGTTGACTCTTGCCGGTCAACTGTTCTTGCGGAACTTTGACCTCAACTACGAGCGTGTGACCGCCATCGAGGAGGTTTCGGACTCTGGAAAGGACCGACTGAAGAAAGGCAAAGCCCTCGTGGATCTGCCCACCTATCAGTGGAACTACGCGAAGAACCTTTGGGCAGAACCCCGTCAGTCGGCCGAGCACAGAGCTCCCCAATACGCGCGTCATGACACGCTGGGCTCCCGCATTCCCGGAGGTTCCAAGTATGGACCTACGTGGCGAAACCGCCTCCGCATTATGGATCTGCCATGGCTGAAGCATCACTCCCTTGGCGGTGAAGTCGTCTTCCCGGCTGCGGGCTACTTCAGCATGGCCATCGAGGCCGTGACCCAGATGAACGAAGAGAGTCGACTGGAGGAAGAAGTGACCAGCTACACCCTCCGCGATGTCTCCATCAAGGCAGCCCTTGTGGTTCCCGACGACAACGACGGGATTGAGACCATGTTCACACTCCGTCCCAGCGTTTACAGCGACAGCGACAGCAACGGCCTCGTCGCATGGTGGGACTTCAACGTCTCGTCGTGCTCGGACGACGGGCATTGGAACAGCCACATGACCGGCACCGTCGGCATCAACGCACAGCCGAGGCAGACCCCCAAGGAGATCCCTCCCATGCGCCAGCGGGCAACGGGCAAGGCTTGGAACCAGGCCTTGAAGGGGGTCGGTTTCGATTATGGCCCGTCGTTCCAAGACATGCAGGACGTCCGCTCGGATGGAAAGCTATATCACGCGGCGTCTGCTTCTGTTGTGAAGACGGAATCCGGTCTGGTGGAAGGCGAATCTCGTCATGTCCTTCATCCCACGGCGATTGACTCGTGCCTTCAGCTTATCATCGTTTCTATCTATGCGGGTAAGATGCAGGACATGACCTGCGGAGCCGTCCCCATCCAACTGGACGAGGTTTCCATCTGGTAAGTCATGTTCTGACCTCGACTTATGACAATGGTCTGTCTATATGCTGTTGCACGCCTTGGCTGACCTGTGTTATTTCCTAGGCCCCCAACAAGTGCTCAGTTGGAGAACCCCAAAGCCCAAGCCTTCTCCTGGACGGATGAACGCGGTTTCCGCACCTTCAATAGCAGCACGCAGCTGGTGGGAAGCGACGGTCAGCTCGTCATGTGCATCAAGCAGATGCGTTCCGTCGCTTATGAAGCTGCCGTTCCTCAACGCAGCACAGCCACCATCAAGGAGCAACCGTTCATGAAGCTTGCTTGGAACGTCGACATTACCACGCTTACCGCCGACAGCCCCGTCAAAGGCCTCAGCGCTCAAGACCTTGTCGTACTGGCTGGTTTCAAAACCCCGGGTATCAGAGTCCTCGACCTCGGTGCCCTTGATCCGGTATCCATGTGTCAGGCAACCGAGTTGATGCACTACACGGCGACCACGACGACGGATGAGGATCTGGAGAGTCTTCGGCTGGCCATCTCACCCTATCACCATGCCGCCGCTCTCAAGGTCGATCCTGCTTTGGACTTGGAGTCGCAGAAGCTACAGGCCGGGCAGTTTGACTTGATCCTACCGGGGACCCTGACGGACGCTGCCAAGCTCCACTGGCTACTTGCGCCAGGAGGTCGTGTTATTGGTAATGCGATCACGTGCGCCTCGCTAGGGAAACTCTTCTCTGTCCTGAGCCTGCGAAACGGCCTGGCCATCGCCACGGCCCAAGAGGACCATACCAATGGCATAAACGGCACCAACGGACACAGCTCTCGCTTCATCACCATCATCTACCGCAACGAGGTGACAGACTTTTGCCGCAGCCTTGCCAAACTCGTCGAAGGACTCGGCACCCCCCGGTTCGTGCGGTTGGCAGATGCCCCTGCCGAACTCACCTCTTTCCAGCACGTCATCGTGGCCTGTGACCTGGAAGGACCACTCCTCTTGACCCTCGAAGCCAGCGAGCTTTCCGGCCTGCAAAGCGTCGTCTCTCAGACGTCGTCCATCACCTGGGTGTCGGCCGGCGGTCTCAAAGATGGCGTCGCGCCCGAACAGGCCATGGCATCCGGCCTCGCGCGGTCCGTCAGTTCCGAGATGGCGTCGGTCGATTTCACCACCGTGGACGTCAACCTCGCAACCACGTCTACGCAATTCGCCTTGACCCAAGTTTTGAATGCGCTGGACCGGCAGATTCACCACGCGGAGGGCAAAGAGTCCGAGTACTGCGTCGACAACGAGCTCGTATACATCAGCCGGCTCGTGGCCGACGACACCTTGAACGAGGAATTCGGTCCGCAAAGTTCCGTTGTCAAGATGGTTTCGTTCAAGGAGTCTGATCACCTCGTCGGACTACCCCAAGCGGGCAAGCTCGTATATACCCAAGCGGACCGCTCCAACCAAGCAATCGGCGCCGATGAGGTTCAGGTCCGAGTCATCCTGACTGATCTCGACAAGGAGGACGTGATGGTTCGCCAAGGAACAGACTACCCCACCACTTTCTCCCACGAGATCTATGGTGAGGTTACCATGAAGGGGTCCGATGTGAAGGACATCGACGTGGGTGACCGTGTCTTCGGCTTCAACCGCGACAGGCTGGCTACCTTCCAGACCGTAAAGGCGGCCATGCTCCAGAAGGCCGTGGACACGGACGTTCCGGAAGAGGTCGTTACCTTACCCCTGGCTTATGCAACGGCCCTCCATGGATTGAGCACACTGGCGCGTGTCGAGGAAGGAGACGTCGTCCTGGTCCTCCACGGGACTGGAGATGCCGGCGCTGCTGCCATGACCCTCAGCAAGCAGAAGAAGGCCGCTACCTACGTTGCTGTGAAGTCTGAGGCCGACGCTGCAACGGTTGCTGCCGTCTTTGACCTCCCCCTCGAGAACATCATCAGCGATTTCGATCACAACGTGATGGCGAGGTTGGTGGGGCTGACAGGAGGACGTGCGGCCGATATTGTCTTCAGCTCGGCGTACGTACCTCCCGAAGTGTCACACGAGTGCTGGCGAGGCATTGCGCCCTTTGGCCGCTTCCTCGAGGTTGGCCGGAAGAATGTTCTTAAGCGTGCTGCTATGGACACCGTTCCCCTTCGCCGCGGAGCTTGTTACATGGCCTTCGATATCATCGACCTTTGGACCCAGAAGCCCCATCTTCTGTCTGCCTACTTGCGCGAGACGACTACGCTCTACAGACAGAGGCTCGTGTCCGCCGTAGGTCCTATCGAGAAGAGAAACATTACTCAATACGACGAGGCCGTCGCATCGTTCAGCAATGATTTCGGCGTCGGAAAGACGGTCATCGAGTATGCCGAGTCGAGCGGACAAATCAGCATGCTTCCCAAACGGCCCGAGTTCCAGTTCCGTCCTGACGCTACTTACTTCCTCGTGGGCTGCCTGGGTGGTCTTGGTAAGAGTTTGACCGAGTGGATGGTGCAACGTGGAGCTAGGAGCTTCGCCTTTATGTCGAGATCCGGCGTCAACAGCGCAGAGGCGTCGGCATGGCTTGGTAGCATCGAGGCTGCGGGAGCTACTTGTCAGATCATCAAGGGAGACGCAGCCAAGAAGGAGGATGTGGACGCAGCGCTGCAGCTCGTTCCCGCTGAGTACCCCGTTAGAGGCGCAGTTCATGCTGCCATGGTCTTGCGTGTAAGTTCCGCCCCTTTCACCCCCCTTTTCGTTTTCTTTTTTTTTTTTTTTTTTTTTTTTGGCTCCTGAAACTGACAAAATTAGGACGGCCTTTTCCATTCCATGTCATACGACAACTGGAAGACCTCAATTGCCCCCAAGATCCTCGGAGCAATCAATCTGCACGAAGCACTCTCTGACACAGATCTGGATTTCTTCGTCTTCACCAGCTCGACTTCAGGCATCCTAGGAACGCCCGGCCAAGCCAACTACGCCGCCGGCAACAGCTTCCTCGACTCGCTCGCCCGGCATCGCGTGGCTAACGGGAAACGCGCCTCGTCTCTCATCCTCCCCATGGTCCTCGATGTCGGCGTCGTCGCCGAGAACCCCGAAATCGAAGCCGCGCTGCGCCGCAAGGGTATCTACGGCATTGACGAAATGCATTTGCTCGAGGCCTTCCAAGCCGCCATGTCAACGCAGGCCGCCGAGACACCCGCGGATCACATCATTGTGGGCATGGATCCCAGCAAGCTCAAGGAATCGCTGTCGAGCAGCGACGTCACCGATAGCTTCTGGACCGAGGATGAGCGGTTCAAGGCTGTCCTGCAAACCATCAACTCGACGGGTTCTTCCAGGGATGGCGGCGCCGGTGCCGGTTTCACTATTCTCAAGGCCATCCACGAGGCGGATACTCCAAAAGAGGCCGTAGACTTGGTGACGGAGCATTTCACCACCAAGCTCTCGCGGCTGTTGCTACTGGACCTTGACATCTTCCAGCCTGAGGTTCTACCTATTGCGGACTATGGCCTGGACAGCATGATTGGCGCTGAGCTGCGTAACTGGATCTTCAAGGAGTATGCTTTGGATATTCCGTTCCAGCAGCTCAACGGGCCGGGCCTGACCATCGCCAAGTTTGCGGAACTTGTCTGTGTAAATCAAGGTATAAAATGATTGCGGAAGATTGGCATATGAGTCGAAGGCCGTATTCTCCGAAGAATGATTCTGGCCAGGAGAAACGCGCAGCGGTGTTGAGGAATGGTTATTCTTATGCAGCTCTACTTTTGTTCGTAGGAATTTCATGCTTTTCCCGGATTTATACGAGAAGTTGCCTAGTACCATAGACCGCAATGTAGATCGAATTTTGGAGTCTTCGACAAATTCTGCCCATTTTTGCTCCGTTATCACAGGTGAAAGTAAGCAGAGCAGGGGACTTTTGCGGGAGAAGCATAGTAGCTAGCTATCTATGAAAAGTTACAAACGATCATGATTGCACAGAAGCCTTGACATTGAGTACGTGGCTGGGCATTCTGTGTTACGCCATCTCATATACGGAGATGCGAAAACCTATGAGAATGACTAATTATGTTAACATGATACATAAACATAATAGACAAAAACTGATAGGCGAGGGAAACCAAATAGTAGATGTGGTGCAGCGGACCAGCGGTGGGGCCTGGAGGTGCGAGATACCTACAACGTATGTCCTTCGTAGTGGAGTCTGCAACAACCATAAAAACTACCAATGGCCCGTTGCCCATGTAATAGACCTATAACATAATTCTCCCATTTTGCGAGATGTCACTGAGCATGGGGAAGACCCTGAGTCCCGGTCCTGTGATGTGTGACAGCATGTCGTTGGGCTGATCGGGGCTAGGACTTAGGTACGTACAGTGGGGGTCTCATCGGCTCTCCCCTAGAGCCCCCACATCGGATCGGGCCGTGCCAACGGCACGATCCGAATAGGAAAAGCCGGGGGACCCGCCCCCGACTGAGACGAAGCAGGGCTTGCGAGCTCGGGCTTGCGATATGGCCCGCACCCACTTCCCGGTCAGTTCGTCGTTCCCGTTGCACGCATATTTGCCTGCCGCCTAATCGGACCAGGGGACAGCTCCGTCCACACATGAGAAGTTGAGGTGAGGTGATAAACTTGCAGGTAAAGTTCATAGGTACTCGAACACGTTACACGTTACACAGCCACCCTATACGTTGTGTGTTTCTGTTTGTGTTTGTGCATGTTTCTATTTAAGGCCTTGGCGGTCGCCAGTGAATACTGGGCCTGCCTTCTTTCGTCTTTCGTGGAGCATCGGGTCGGTGCAGATCCCGTGTAGGTTGTATGTGTGCCTGAGACATACAGTGCTAAGCGCTGGACTCTATGCCCTTGCACCACCAAGCAACGTCGAATTCCACACTATGCTGTTAAGATAGTATACAATATGTTAAGGTGGTCTGAAAATGTCAAACCAAAAGCAAGGAAATCTCGCGTCTCGCTGTCTCGGGGGCCTTCATCGTTCCGTTCCTCCTGTTCGCAGGCCAGGTGCAATCCTTGGCCTGTTGTAGGTGCCCCCCTTCCCACCCGTACGTTGTAATTAAGGGGCATGCCTGATGGAGTTTGCGACTCCCCACCCTCGGATTACATTGTATAATATGAAGTTATTTGAAAGCTACTCCCGCCTGCGATTCTCCCAGTCTCCCCTGCCGCGCCCGTGCACGAGATTTACCGGTGCCAGAAAGCTACCATGGTCCAAATTCATCTTCAGTCATGGGTTGGGCAGCACCCGATTGCCGCTGCAGTTGCGCTCCTCCTCACGTACTTTGTAATCGACTTTTGTTGGAAAGGGTACAAGATCCGATCCCGGTTTAGGAATCTTGTATGTCTTCATTTCATCTCGTCGCCGTTGCCTATGATGCCCAGCTCAAAGCTGACAACCCCTGTGACAGCCGGGACCCCCGCACCACTGGGTTTGGGGCCATATTCCGATCCTCTTGGAGCTTCTGAAAGAAATACCAATCAATGCCTCCTCTCTTTACTATGCGGATCTTCTGCGAGAAAAGTATAACCTCGGCGACATCTTCTACTTCGACCTATGGCCCATAGGCATGCAGTTCTTGATGATCTTGGACCCCGACATCACCAAGCAAATCATCGTCAGGAAGCCGACACACAAGAACAGCATGCTCAAGTTGTTCATGCGCTTTCTCGTGGGCTCCCACGACAATCTTCTCTCGGCTGACGGCCACACGTGGATGAAACTTCGCAGGATATTCAACCCAGGATTTGCATCCAGTCATCTCAGCACGATGATTCCCGGCATTGTCGAGGAGACCGAGATCTTTTCCAAAACGCTCGAAGAGTATGCGCAGAAAGAGCGAGCCTTCAGGCTGGACGAGACAGCAACGCTGCTGACGATTGACGTAATCGGTCGCTTGATTCTCGATACACAGCTTCATTCTCAGACAGCCCCGAATGAACTCACCTCGGCAATCATCAGCCAGGTCGCATGGATCCCGCAAGCACGACCTACTCGCCCATGGGAGATATTCAATCCCACCTTCCTCGTCATGATGTGGCGGAACAACCGCAAGATGGACGCCTACATCTCCGACATTCTCGAGAAACGTTTTGCCGAACAGAGGGCAGACCGCACAAAAGGGAGAAACGTCATGGATCTTGCCCTCGATGCCTATGGCAAAGGGAAGGGACAGAGTGAGGAAGCTCTTCCATCCGTACCTCTGGACCCCGGGTTCAAAAGGGACGCAATTTGCCAGGCAAAGACTTTCATGTTCGCGGGTCATGACACAATCAGCGGCACCCTATGCTACGCGTACTACCTTTTGCACAAAAATCCGGACAAAATGGCCAAGCTGCGCGCTGAGCATGATGAAGTGCTCGGAACTGACGAGGCCGAGGCCGGAAAGTTGATCACGGCGCAGCCGAATATCCTGAACAAGCTAGAGTACACTCTTTGTGTTTTGAAGGAGACGCTCCGCCTCTACCCGCCGGCGAGCACCCTACGCGAGGGTAACAAGAAGTGAGTTGGGTGTTTTACTTTTGTCTTCTTCTTTTGTCTCCACATCCACTCCCGCTTCTTTCCATCAGACATTCATTCGCAAGGCGCAAAGCCATACAAACAACATGAAACAAACACTGACCCCCATGTGCTCACTCTTTTTCAGCCTCTTCATCACAGACCCAGTGACCGGTGCATCCCTTCCGACAGAGGACTTCGCCGTCTCCCCCATCACGATCGGGATGCAGCGGCACCCCAAGCACTTCCCCAACCCCCACGCCTTCATCCCCGAGCGCTTCCTGCCGCGGGACGGCCCAGATGGGCAGAAATTCTCCGACTCTTCCAACCTCGCCTATCTCCCCTTCTCCAAAGGACCGCGCATCTGCATCGGCCAAGAACTCGCCATCACCGAGATGAAGATCGTCCTGGCCATGACTGTGCGGAAATTCGACATCCGCAGCGCGTTCGAGGATCTGAAACTGCTCAAGGGCGGCCCGGGGTGCTGGCCCAGTGACGAGTCCGGCATCCAGAAGGTGTATGGTGACGAGGCCTATCAGATCATGATGGGTTCGGCAAAGCCTAGGGAGGGGATGCCTGCGCGGGTGAGCGTGAGGAAGCAGGGCTGAAGTGACGGAGAGGAGAGCGACGCTTTCGGTTGCCACGAATCCCGGCTGGTGAACTGTATGTCAGAGGATTCCCCATACCAACTGGTTGCCTCACTCGCTGCGTAGGGATTGGACTCGTTTCTCCAGTTCTTGGGATTTTCCAAAGTAAAATGAAGACACCGCACATGGCATGGAAATCAGACTGCTCAACTCCCTGGCGTTTAACCGCTTGTCGGGAGACGCGAGCTTTGTTATTTAATGCATATAGTTCAGGTTTATTTTACATAATACCGAGAGAGCTCATAACCGTCCACCGTTGGCTACATTCCGATAGATGTTCCTATTGAATCCATTGTATTTCTTGAAGTGTCAAGTGACACTGACAGGTTCTCGAACGACAAGAAATGAAACATCGAGATGGACAAGTAGGAAACGGTAACCTGCCTCAAAGTCGTGCTGGCAAAGCAGAGCAGCCTCGACCACCACGGATCCATGGATGATACATGTGTCTAGTTCCCATCTAGAATCGACTCGGCAATTTTCTCCGCATACATATCTGATAGTAAAGTCAAGTTAGTCGTACATACACAAATCACTCGGTGACCGGTCAGGTCTAGTGAATGCATCGTGCATATGGGCGTGGACAATACAAGTACTTACAGACAGACGCCATGGGATGGCCCGGGGGACAATTAGGGAAGGCGCTGGCATCGACTACCCGAAGGCCGGTAACGCCATAGACGCGAGCCCGAGAATCGATTACAGCCGACGGATCATCCTGAGGTCCCATCTTGCCTACAAGTTTGTCAGATAATCATTAATGGCTTCAGACGGCAGGTACGAAGGAAGGGGCTGGAAATTTGGGACTTACACGTCGAAGTCCCATGGAAAATAAATCCGGAATGACCCCGGATAAAGTCAAGAATGTCCTCTTTACTGCTAACACCGAGGCCCGGCAGCAGCTCACCCGTGGCCGTGTCCCAGTTGGAAGAAATCTCACGGAGCCGCAAGAACGCGGCGTAGGCCTGCTCCATGTCGGCATCCGTAGCGAGCCAGTTAGGATTGATGATGGGCCTGTCGAAGACACTGCTGCTGGTAATGGACATGTTTCCCTTGGATTCGGTGGACAGCAATACGGCGGCCAGGAGGATGAAGTTGTCATAAGGCGTAATGGGGATTTCACCGACGGGGACGTTGGCCAGGGGAAGATACTCGACCTCGGGCCAGTCTTCTGGGAAGGTCTCGAGGTAGGCAAGGGTCGAGTTGCTGAAGTCTGACCTGACTGACTCGGGGAAGTTCTCAAAGGCTGGGTGAAATCTCTGATTAGCGGCGCTGATATTTCATCCCCCCTCCCTTGTGAATTAGCAGAACTGAGAGATGTTTTCATAGCTCATACCAATGCCTTGGCCGGTGCCAAAGCCGGATAGTGGGCCGGACTGGTTCTCCAGGTAATTGGTCATGGCGGCTGCGACTACCTCGGGGTTGCCGACTTGAAATTGCGTGTTGGTTTCGACGCTGAGGTTGAGGAATAGGCCAATAACGGGTTGGTCCTGTGAACAGTGCAGGTCAGCAAAGGTCCCGGAGGATATACTTGTGGGAGTGTCGGAGACACTGTTTGATAAAAGTAGCATGGCGTTTCAAGGGAGACTAGACTGCATAGGGAGACTGCATGCGCCACATACCCATTCGTTCTGACCTACACCGGGGAGGTCGGAGATAACCTCGATGCCGTGCTCTTGGAGAGTTTCTGCCGGACCCACGCCGGACACCATCAAAAGCTGCGGTGAGTGCCACTGATAACAGACAAGAGACAGTCCTGTTAGTACTACACTGTAAAAGAAAGTTGAGAAAAGCTCCGGACGAACTACTTACCACACCGGCAGAAAGGATGACCTCCTTCGTAGCCGAGAGACTGTACTTCAGCTGCCCCGTGGCCACGTTGGTCTGCACCTCAACACCGGTAGCCTTCTTGTCCTCATCAAACAGAATCCGCGTGACGACGGCCTGCGGGTAGATCTTGATTCCGGCTCTGGCGGCAGCCTGAAGGAAGGAAGTCTCGGAGGAATCGCGCGTAGCAGTCCGTGTATCGATGGTTGCCGTCGCCGTTCCGTAGCCGATCAACCTCCCGCTGTTAAACCCGTCAATGGGATCCAAGCCAGACGCCGCCAGCGCATCGGACAACGACGGCCCATAGGCGCCTTGGTGGTTGCCGTAAGAGACGTGGAGTGGTCCGCCGGTGGGGATAAAGGCCGTCGCGTCGTAGGAGATGTTGAAGGACGGGTCGATCTTGGTGTAATCCGGCGGCTGGAAGGCGACGCTCTGTTTATACGCGGGATAAACATTGTCCCACGTCCAAAAGTCGTCGTCGAGTAGTTCTGCCCACTGATCGAAGGTACCGACAGTCGCACTAAGGAGAAGAAGGAAAAGATAAGGGCTTCAGTATAAGGCTGCTTCCAGGGGACCAGATCCTATTCGGGAGGCCACCGCATCTTACCGGTGGTAACCCATATAATTTGAAGCGGTGCTGTTCATCATTGTGTGCATGTGGTTAGCTGCAATGCTCCCTTCGTCAACGACAACACCATGCTGCTGCTGCTGCTGTTACTACTACTACCACTACCACTACTACTACTACTCACCTTCCTCCAAATGTCTGGCCCTGACCATACTCGGCGGTACGACCACCGATGGCTGCCTGGGGTTCCGTCGTCAGGCCCCACGAGGTCAAGGGCGTCTCATCACCAAGGGGGAATGTGATGGTGTTGATATAGTTGTAGCCGGGCACCTGGGTGCGATTGCCGTCAAGGATTTCATAGAAGCTTCCGGCCTCAATCACGGCAACGGTATAATTGGCAGGGTCCTCAGCAAGACGAGCAGCGATGGTATTTCCGGCATTGCCACCTCCAACGATCTGGAACGATTTGCTTAGTATGTGCTGAAAAGCCTGAAAAGGGGGTGAAAATATAAAAAAGAAAACATAAAAAAACTGAGGTCAGACAAGGGCCAACTTCTCTTACAATGTAATCGTAGGTGGCATGATACCCCGGCCGGCCGAACGAATTGCCATAAATACGGGTGATGCCATCGGCGTCGACAAACGCTCCAACTGTGGGCGGTTGGGCCTTTGCACACGCTGCTGCAGCCACAGCAGCAGTGATGCTAATCTGGAAGAGTGGGAGGGACCGCATGCTTCTGACTATCAGGACTCCGTAGTCCGAACACAATGATGGGATTATGGAGAAATGATAGGTCCGTGATTAGGGGTGGACGGGGGGTGTACGGTGTTGGTGCGTTTCCTTTCCCGTGGACCATAGGGTTGGACCGTTGGAACGGTTGGTTCCCCCTTGCTGGCTTGAATCTATCTTATAGGATCTCCCGCTTAGCCTCCAAGCCATCGTGCCAACAGACGGTGTTGCTATAATCGGAAGTATTGAGTCTGGATCGGGTCGGGGGAACGCCACTCTCGCCACCAGGATTCACCAGGATCAAGTTGCAATGGGATTTCCGTTTACGCTGTCTCTCCATCTTACAGACACACCGGTCACCGGCCCGAGCCGTCCGGACCCCGAAATCCGGACCGGTCGAGATCGGAAATAGATGCGGAAATTGTTCCATGCAAGCAAAGGTCTACATGTACTACATACATACCGCCGTCACCCCTGCCCCCTCCCCCTTTTTTGTATTCTTCTTTCTGAGCCGTGTGTGATCCTACGGCCAGCATTCGTCCCACGTCACCCGGAGATCGAGATCTGCGGCCTACCATTCATGGCTTCCAGCACGAAAGAGGAGCCTACTCGCAAGAGGGCCAGTGACCTCGCCCGCCTCTACGCTCCTCATATAGCGGGAAAGGTGGTGCTGGTCACAGGTGTCTCACAGTACGGTCTGGGGTCCGCCTTCGTCAAGGCCATAGCAGCCTCGCACCCTTCTCTTCTCGTCCTGGCCGGGCGCAATGTAACCAAGGCTCAGGCAACGGCAGACGAAGTCGCAGGGTCCGCGGCGTCTCCGTCTACAGAAACGCGCATTCTCCAGTTGGATCTCTGCTCCCTCTCCGCCGTCCGGGCTGCCGCTGCCACGGTAAACGGATGGGCCGATGTCCCCCGCATCGACGTCGTGGTCAACAATGCAGGCATTATGGCCACCGAATTCGCACTCTCGCCGGACGGGTACGAGAGTCAATTCGCGACGAATCATCTGGGTCCGTTTCTGTTCACCAACCTCATCATGGACAAGATTCTCGCCTCGTCGTCCCCTCGGATTGTCATGGTCAGCAGCGACGGTCATCAGCTGTGTCCGGTCCGCTTTGCCGACTATAATTTCAGGGCGGGTTTTACCATAACTCTACGGTCTACTACCGGTAAAAACGTATACTGGGGCTGCCCACGCTAACAGCTCCACCCTCGAGTTAGGATGGGGAGACGTACAACAAATGGCGGGCTTACGGGCAGTCCAAGACGGCTAACATGCTCATGGCCATCTCCTTGGCTGAGAAGCTGGGTCCGAAGCGCAACCTCCTAGCCTTCAGTCTGCATCCGGGAAATATCACTACACATATTGGCGATCACATTAACTGGGAGGCTGATTTTGGAACCTTGCGTAAGTCCGTCTGCTTTTGTCACTTGTGAGAGAGAACATTGAAACAACAGAAAGGGAGAGACAGCTAAAGTGTTGCCGACAGTCCAAGTCCACCGTGACTTGGGAAATGCCCGAGGTTGGAGGACAACCTTCCCCTTTGTTCCCCCCGACGAGGGTACAGCGACGCACGTATACGCATCTTTCGATCCGGAGATAGCAGGTCAGTATTACGAGAGCCTGATATTCTGTGACCTCATGTCGGGGTGTGTCCAAGGGACATTACTAACATGAACATTCGATTAATAGCCCATAATGGCTCCTACTTGGAGGACTGCCAGCTTGCGAATTTGTGGGACGACAGTGTCAAGCCCTGGGCTACGAGCTCAACGGAAGCTGAGAGATTGTGGAAGCTGAGCGAGAAGCTGGTGGGCCAGGAGTTTAACTATTGAAGTAGCATGCCATTTGGCATTGATCGTCGGTTTCAATGGTATTTTCTGAAAGGCAAGATTGAAGATCTTCATGCGCACGACGTCGTGCACACCGTCAAACGTTTCTATGCAGAACTACACGTGCGTGGACATGTGTGTGGTAGCAAACCGCTCTCGCGTGGTAACGTGGCATCGTCCCCTTGAGCTGGGCCCTGGGGTAGGACCGTAGGGCAGTGTAGCACCAAAAGGCCCTTGGAATCATCTCTGGGCTGGGCTCTGGGCTCTGGGCTGATTTGACCTGAAAAACAAAGAGCTAGTTACGCCAGTTACAACTTGAAGGGATCGTCGTAAAAGAAGCCACATCAGTCTGTTGGTGGCTGTAATACTCCGTCACCCGTCGGGCATCTTCATTGGAGGCTGAGTCGTGTCGTACAATGCAGCAGGATAGATAAACTAGCTCAGTACTTGTGGAAGGAAACTTCCTGGGCCTGGATCTGCCCCTTTATGCTGTCTCGTCTTAGCCTCTAAGATCCAAGGGCCAAGAGTCAGCCAAGGGCCAAGAGTCAGCCAAGGGCCAAGGCCCAAGAGATGCGATGCGCGAGCATTTCTTCGGGGTTAGAGGGGCTAATTCCGACTATACCCGGCTGAGAACCAAGAATCAACATGCCCAACCATGCCTCATGCTTGCGGTAATCAGTACATGTAATTACCTAGCTATTCTTCATGGTAGAATATTCTCCAAAGTGTGTTGGGTAACTTGGGTTGTGCGTCCCCGCGTCCCGATGGTGCCAGCCTCTACTCTCAACCCCTTTTTACACGCACGCGCCGCGTACGGTATACGGCAGCCAGTAATTACAGCAGGCTCAGCCGCCCCTCAAGAGTCAAAAGCTGGAAAATGTTGAGTCTCACTTTATCCGGGTGGTGTGGTTGACCCCGGTCCCCTGAACATTTGATCCCAAGATAATTCCCAACAAACACAGCACGCTTGGCCGACTCCGGCCTACGGGATATCCTAGTTCAGTTGTTGGTCTCGAACCAACGTTGCTGCAGCCAACCAGATGCTCGTGCTTGCTTATGCAGTCATAACTCTTCTTTCTTTGTTTGTTACACAGCAGCCAAACGTCGAATGATCGAAGGCCGGTACGGTGACGGGTCAAACCCACGCAAAGTCCCCCTGGATCACTTCTTCGGATTTGCGGGCAAATTCAAGCTTCCGAGGCCGTAGTCTGGACCCCTGGACGTCCGTCGTTGGAAGCCCCCGAATTCCGACTAATCTAGGTATTTAGCATCCCACACCAAACGCAAGATCCTTCGACCAGCTTACCAATGCTTTGCTGGTAATAATTTACCAAGCCAAGACAACTCGCATCCTTTGACCATATACACAGACGCCACCCACGCCACCTCGCATCTCGTATATGCCGCATAGAACAGAGATATCATGAATATGGGCAAGAAATCCGCTCCGTTTAACCAGGCGCGCGACATCCCGGCCCTCGATGGGAAGGTGATTCTGGTAACAGGAGCCAACATCGGCCTGGGGAAGCAGTGCGTCCTCGAGTATGCACGCCACCGTCCCGCCCAGATCTGGCTGGCCGCTCGCAACCTCGACAAGGCCAGGGCAGCCGTCGATGAGATCCAGAAACAGCTCAAATTGGAGAGCACGAGCCGGGGGAAAGGTCAGGACCCGGCGGCACATGCACCCATCAAGGTCCTAGAGCTCGACCTCTCGTCGATGGAATCCGTCAAGAAGGCAGCCGCCGTGTTCCTGGCCGAGGCGGACCGTCTCGACATCCTCATGCTCAACGCAGGCGTCATGGCCGCCCCGCCGGGGCTCACCAAGGACGGCTACGAGCTCCAGTTCGGCACCAACTACCTCGGGCACGCCCTCCTGGCCAAACTCCTGCTCCCCAAGCTGGAGCACACGGCCAACGAGATCCCGGACAGCGACGTCCGCGTCATCATGCTGTCGTCGCACGGGCACGTGTACGCGCCCAAGCTCGAAGGCGTGCGGCTCGAGACGCTCAGGACCACGGCGGAGGACCTCGGCCCTTACGGACGCTACGGCCAGAGCAAGCTCGCACAGATCCTCTGGGTGAGGAAGATGGCGGCCCTGTATCCCCGGTTCACGCTGGCCTCGATCCACCCGGGCGTGGTGCGGACGAACCTGATGAACAATGCCACGGGCTCGTCCCTGCCCATACGGCTGCTGGGCCGCATCGCGAACAAGGTGGTCACCCCGATCGATCAGGGCGTCAGGAACCAGCTGTGGGCCTCGGTGAGCAAGGACGTCAAGTCGGGCGAGTACTACGAGCCCATTGGCATCACGGGTTCCGGGTCGGATTTCACCAAGAACGACAAGCTGGCCGATACGGTGGCCGATAAGATCTGGGATTGGACGGAGAAGGAACTCGAGCAGTATCTTTAATCTGGCCAACTCGTCGGGCTTACACGGTGATTATGATATTATTGTCAAGAGGTCGTTGTGGGCTCACAAATTCACAATCGTCTGATTTGTGCGTCTGTACGGAGTCTGGTTTTCCTCAACGGGCTACATGTAAATTAAAGATACGAGTCTTAGTCTTGAGCCGTTCACGTATTGTTTCGCATATATTACACGCATATAGCATACATGTAGACATTATACATATTGTTCAAGTTGATAATGGCTCGGAAGCTCGACATTATGCAAGTCCATAGAGGGGCGCATGCATCTATCTACCTGTACTTTGTAGAAATGCCGTCCAGCCTTGACTTCTGTTACTTTGCCCTCTCCTGAATACTTCTCTGCCGCGAATCAAGTAAGATAGAGTAGAACAACATGAAATAAAATACAGTACTATGCGGTCCATACGCACCCGTATAGGGCAGCAGGCCAGGGCTCCAAAGAAACCCCAGGTTCAGAACTAAGGTAGCTAAGGTACGGATAACAAGGTACCCGACGGATACAGGGCTCGGCATATATACATAGATACATAGACCGCGCATTAGCGTAGTTCGGCTCGGACCTGCCAAGCACTGACTGATTTCCCCTTTAGGAAAAGCCGGACCGGCACGCTGGTTCTTAGCGGGCGCTAATGGGTACGGGAACCATGTGCACCCCACGCACCCCACGCACCCTACGCACCCACACCCCCGAGGCCCCACCAGCGAGTCCAGCGAAGCCTAACGAGTGACGACTATATGTATTTTGACTATTTTTGGCGAGCCAGTTCCTTGGTTACCGAGTACGAGTATGACTTTCCATCATCATCCCTTATCATAACTACGAGTGTCCTGTGGACCATACATACATTATCAGACACACATAACCAGTAGCTACATCCTGTTTCCTCTCCCCTTCTCTTATCAATACGTGACTGTGCATCGTTATCTCTCCCCCCTTCTCCTCCTCCCCCCCTCCCCGCCCCCTTGCAGCACATCATCATGGAGTCGCTTACACGAGTCCGTCATGCCCCTCTGGTGGTTCTCTTCGGAACTCTTTCCGCCTTCGCTTTCTACTCGACATGGGGCATGTCTGTCCTGGACGGTACGATGAGTCGGATGCTCGAGCTGCGCGGAATGGAAACCCCCCTGATCCCTGGCACGGATGTGCCTCTTCGGCTGCATTTCACCGGGATCGCCCCAATTGACAACTGGTACACAATCATGGTGCTGTTCTTCTGGCAAGCTGTCGACGGCAGCCATCCCGCAACGAGCTTGGCGGGCGTTTATTTCCTGGGTCAACTCGTGGCCATCTGGACTCTGGTCTATGTTGAGGGTGCAAAAGTCGAAAACAAGAAAAACTGTCTTGGAAGGTAAGCATCATTCCAGCATCACTCGTACAATATCACCGTTACACAAACGAGAGAGAGAAGAAAAAGAAGAGAAAAAAAAGGGGGGGAGGGCCCGGAGGGGCCCTCTCTCCATTCCGCAAAGCTGCAGCCACTCGGATAGGGCGCCATCGAACCGCTACCTTATTTGCACGCACCTCCCTCCCCGTTGCCCCATCTCACCCGCGTGTTGGTAGAAGTTGCCGCTAACCTGCCGGGTTCTCATACCCCACCCACCCTCCAGAACGCTTCCCTGGATCCTCCTCATGCACAACCTCACCCTGGGCTGTTTCGGTCCTATTTACTTTGCCGTGCATCTCCTCAGCCTCAAGTCGCCAGATTCGTCCAGACCGGCCGCCACAAAGAAGGGAAAAGCACCAGTACCGTCGGCGTCGGCCCATGTCCTGGCCGCTGCCGCGCGTTATCTCCGATTCCTTCCCTTCTCAATAGTCCTGGGCTTCGTTGTCCCCAGCATTTGGATAGGTCTCCCACCCCCCAGGCTGGCCACATATGCATCACAGCAGGCTGCCATCGCCATCTGGACCCCGTTTCCCGTGTGGGTGGGGCTCTCGCAGCTTCTGTTGACTCGGTATCTCCCCAAGCTTTCAGGCTGTGAGGGTGAGGCTGCCTCTGCCACTCCTGGTACCGGTAGCATCAGCCCTGCGAGGAGTCAGGCCACCTACCTCGGGGCGCTGAGGTGGGTATACCTCTTCTGCCTCGTAGGCAGCGCCTTGGTGCATGTTGGCGTTGTCACCACCTCCCTGAGCACCCAGCTGTTTCCGGCCATCTTCACGCCTGCTATTCGCTCCGAGTTTGCACCCATGAACCTCTTGTTTCCCCGCAATGCTGAGGTCGCCTCGAGCATCGGCGCAGGGGTCCTCAATTTCATGCAGTGGGATCAGTGGATTGGGTATTCTTCGGTGCTGATCTGGGCGTTAAAGTTGGCACAGGAGGATCGGCTTGCCCCCTTGACTTGGACACGGCTGGGGCTTTATGGGCTGGGCCTTGCCTCCATCGTTGCTTTACTTGGCCCTGCTGCTGCTGCGGTGCTGCTTCTGTGGGGGGGAGACGAAAGAAGATACGCTGTAGAACCCTGAACTCCGATCTGCGTAACATATGGTTGGGGAATAGGGGGCAACACCAACATTTGACCCTACATACAGCATGCAGACTCCAGACCTGAGACAATGTTCAGCTGGGGCAAAGCTTGTGTCTATCTAGATAGGGTCTAGCAGCTTTCAGCGGTCTAGAAATGTCGATAGCAGGCTCAGTGGCATCTTAGCCGACTTGCATTTACAATCTGCCCGTCTTACACTGCCGCCGGCCACTGTTCATACTAGTACTACTAAAGGGACTTGACTGTCGTCTGTCTAGATAGCCTAACCGTTCAATCACGTCCCTGGATAATTGACTCGTCCGCCTACTTTCCGCTGTGATGCTGCCCACGAAGGCTACGACGACGAGCAAAGTTCATTAGGACGTAGACCGTTGGAAACAAGCGAGAATGCAACCCCGGTGACCGGCTCCAAGCCTTCCGGTCCCGTCCCGTCCCGCCTGTTTATTATCTTTCCGCACGCCCTTGTCTCCTTTTCGGCTTCGCGCCCTCCCCCCCCTTCGGCTTGATGTACAAGTCTCAGCCGCAAACCACGGGTAAGAACTAAAAATATAAGACACCATGAACGATGTGCATGATGCGATATGCCTGGGGTTACTTTGCCTCCTCCTCGATCTGAAATAGACTGCTTGGCGACTCGCAACAACCATTACAACCTTACAACCCCCAAACCACTTGACCATTCCCCAGATGGCAGATGCTACCATACAAGCATGCAGTCCATGCAGGAGCAAATCGTTTCACACAATTGGCCAATCCCAAAGATCAGCCCATCGCGAAGATCAATGATAACCCAGGGTCCTTTAGCCACATGGCGAAGAAGTCTGAAGGATTCCTGCGCGGCCCGCCCTGGCCCCTGATAAACTCACTGCCTTTCTTTATTACTCCATACATCGTGCCGTGGTGCCGTCGTCGTATTATCGTGTATGCGGAAGCCCGCTTATTATTTCGTCAAGATCGCTTGAACAAAATGCACGTCAATTCATTCTTATGGGCGGAACCCCCCGATGCGCGTGTGGCGCCGCAGTCGGCGTTACCTCGTTGGATCTCCGATACCGAACTGCAGCCAAAGCTGCATCTATCGACAGCCCTGGTCAGTGGTCATGCCTAGCGAACCCTCTTCGACTCTGGGAATCTGGAGTAATGGCCTCTGCTGATCTCTGCTGCTCTCAACAGTCGGACGAACTATTTGCCTGCCGGTCCCGGGATGCGGCCTCCTGTTCCTCCGTCGCCATAAGAAACCCGGAGGCAAAGATGTGGAGAGGGAGGGGGGGGTGGTAAGTTGTAACGCCATTGAAGGGGTCCAGTACCGATCAAGCTCACAACCTTCATGTTCACAACAGCCCGCGAGAGTGGCGAGAAGCCACATGGCCACACCACCATTTCACCCACCCCTCGTTTGAGTGGCCTCAACTCCGGTCTGGTCTCTTGGCTGTCCCCTTGAATGTTGACGCGGCTCCAGCACGATAATCCCCTGATTTCCCCTCAGACTTGGCTTCAGTATATAAGAGACTGATCAGATAATCATTGCCTGTTAGTCTGGAGCCTAACCCTATTCTGATATGATCAATATATCCTGATCGTCTTGTCAGGTTGTCATGCTCGACTCGCACCGCCTGCTAAGCCTGTTCTAAGATTGCCATTCCCCCCCCCCGGGTCCCAGGTCCACGACCCGACCCGCCCCGACATGTTTGCCACGCTTTCCTATAACAAGGGTGGGCAAGATGATGATATTATAGTTGTGCCCACGAGTAACCAGAACTTCGGCGGACGACGACCGGCCAGACTGGCATGTATAGAGTGTCGTGCAAAGAAGGTTCGCGCGGTTGTCCATCACCAACACTTCCACCGCCGCCGTTTTTCATCAATAATTGACCCCTATTTCTCTCTCGGCTATAGGTGAAATGTACAGGAGACAGGACAGGCTGCGCAAAATGCGCGGCAAGCGGTATCCGCTGCGAGTATCCGGCGTCCAGCGAGCGCGGCGCGCCATGGAGAAGACGAGCGGCAACCAACAGCAACCTCCCGAATCGACATGGACGAGACACTCACTCGGCCGACATCAGCACCACCAACATGGGTACCAGCAACGCTGACCAGGCTCCCGCCCAGCAGCCATTACCGGGGCCGTCCAGCCAGCACGATGACAGTGCAGCCTCCCGGGGGGGCACATGCAGCCGCCCCGGTTCATCGTCTCGCACTGATCCGGGGCAACCTTCCATCATGGCCTCTACCGAGACCGACACGGATATCGAAATGGGAGGTCATCATCCTGATCTCTCCTCGTCACGTATACACCCGCAAAACCTCGAGAGCATGAATATCGACTCCCTGCTTGTCTACCTCGAGACCCCACCCTACAGTCTCGCCTCTAAAGACTCCTCCTCCAACTCGAACAGTGATGTAGACAACTTTGACTTTGGTCAGTCTTGGCTAAGCCGTCCCGTCAGACCGATGTGACAGTTGGCATGACATGAGCTGACGATTCCCCCCCCCCCAACCCAGTCCTCGAAGAGTTGCTATCTCCCGACTTCCTCCCCTTTGACAACACCGACATGCCGAATTTCACCAACACGTCCACAACAGCAGGCCAGGACTCAGCAACAACACCCTCACAAACACGGCCCGTCCTCCTACCCACACCAATCCCCCCCCCCTCCTCCTCCTCCTCCTCCTCCTCCTCCACCACCACCACCACCACCACCGCAAACTGCACCTGCGCCTCCTCCGCCGTCCGCGTCCTCGAAGAGCTCGAGCTCCGCGACAACAGCGAAGACCCCGCCGACGTCATCCTGACCATCCAAAAGGCCCACCTCTCCCAGCTCCGCGCCTGGCTCGCCTGCGACCGCTGCCCCACCCCCAAGGCCACCTCCATGATCATCGCCCTCGTCATCGAGCGCCTCTCCCTGTGCCTCGAGCAGGCCGTCGAGGTGCACCAGCTCGCCAAGGAGGACAAGACCGCCGACCCGCGCGGCGGGGGGCCCGACGGGTACACCGGGTCCGGCGTCGTGGGGCACTACCGCATCGATTCCCGGGACGAGTGGATCCTCGTCATGCGGGTCTTTCTTTTGATGAAGTCGAGGGAGCTGGGCGGCGCGGTTGTCAGTCTGGGGAGACGGGCGGAGCTGGAGGAGATGCTCGGCAGGACGCAGAGGAGGATTAAGCGGATGATTAGCGATCTGGCTGGGTGGGAAGGATGAACTGTGCTCAACTGTCTGGGATTTATCTCTGGGTGGTTGGCGTTGCTTGATCCTCGACTCATGACGGGATGAAGATATGTGTCATGGTAGGGTAGATGATGGGTAGATTGGTAGAACCCCGGAAGACTATACAGGGTTCTATGGAAGGGCATGGCTAGATACTATGGAAGGGCATGGCTAGATACACAACAAAGACTACATGCAAGATATATGCGCTGCCAAGGCACTACATACAGATGCCTAGCTTGAAGCAAACGCATGTGGCCCGCTCATGATGTTCCTTGGGTATGCTCCTTCTACCCCTTGATGCCCAACCTCTCCCTCGCCATGCTCCTCAGCTTGAATTTCTGGATCTTCCCGCTGGCCGTCTTGGGGTACTCGTCAATCCAAAAGACGTGTTTCGGGACCAGGTGCCCAGAAAGGGCTTCCCTCACCCACCTCCTGACCGTCTCCTTTGTCAACACCTTCTCCGCGTTCGCCGGCTGAGCCTGCCGCTCCTCCGACCCGGGTTCCTCCTCTTCCCCGCCCCGTACGGTGACCCCGTGGGCAGGGACGATAAAAACAGCCACGTTCTCCCCGTACCGCTCATCAGGCACGCCCACGGCCGACGCGTCACCGACAAGCGGATGCTGGAGAAGACAATTCTCAATCTCCAGCGGGTGGATGTTCTCCCCGCCACGGATGATGAGGTCCTTGATCCGCCCCGTGATGGACACGTACCCTCGCTCGTCCATGACCGCCTCGTCGCCCGAGTAGACCCAGGTCCGGCCATCCGTCTCGGTAACGCGCACCTCGGCGGTCCGGGCCTCGTCGCCCCAGTAGCCCCTCATGACGAGGTACCCGGCTGCTGCGAGCTCGCCCCGCTCCCCGACTGGGAGGACCACGGACCTGTCGTGCGGGTCAACCATCTTGACCGCCGTGTGCGGGAGCGGCCGGCCCACCGAGGTTGTGCGGTGGACGAACGGGTCCGAGGGTGCGGTCATGCACGACACGGGACTCGTCTCGGTCATACCGTAACAGATCACGAGGTCTTGCAGGCCTAGGGTGGCGTAGAGTCGACGCATAAGGGACTCGGGCACCGAACTTCCCGCGGCGATACCCTTGGTCAGGTGCTTGGGGAGGTCGGAGGGGGATACCGCGCCCCCTGCGGCGAGGACGTCCAGCACGGCGATGAACATGGTGGCCACGCCGTAGAGGCCAGTGGCGTCGTGGTCGGCGAGTGTGCGGAGGGTGGCGACCGGGTCGAAGGCCGGGGAGGGGAAAAGGATGGCGGCGCCAGTGGTGGCGGTGGCCATGTAGCCCAGGACGGACCCGAAACAGTGGAAGAGCGGCGGAGGGACGACGATGCGGTCGGTGGGGACGAGACCCATGCGGCCGGCGATGAGGGAGCCGTTGTTGAGGATCGAGGTATGCGTGAGCATGGCCGCTTTGGGGGTGGAGGTGGTGCCGGAGGTGAACTGGATGTTGATGGTGTCGGATGGATCTAACGGGGCATCGGGCCGGATAGGGTGACGAGATGCTTCGAGGAGGCGAGAGAAGGGGGTCAGGGTGCGACACTCACTGATGCTGGGAAATTCCGTAAGGGGGTGGGAGGCGAGGTTGTCGAACAAGACGATGGTCTTGAGAGAGGGGGCGCCGGGGGATTCGAGACGGGCCCCTTGGAGATTGGGCACAAGGCTACGGAGGAGCGGCTCGTTGCTTCTGCCACGACAAGGCTTATAGGGGAGGTCGGTAACGGCACCGATGATGAGAAGCTCTGCGTCGAGGTGGGCCAGGGCGGCGGTGACCTGCTGGACGTTGAAGCCAGGATTCAGGGGCACGAGCACGGCTCCCAGTTTGAAGATGGCATAGGTGAGGGCGGCGAACTCGGCGCAGTTGCCGAGGCTGACGGCGACGCGATCGCCCTTCTTTACGCCGAGAGAACGGAGACCTGAAGCGAGGCGATTGGAAAGGAGATCCAGCTCTTCGTATGTGAGTGTGGTCTCTTGGGCGGCGGGCACGTTTGATGAGAGGCCCGGGATCGAGGAAGTGGTAGGGGTGCGGGATACGACGGCCGGCCTGTCGCCGTGTTGCGAGACAATGGAAGCAAAGTGCTCGGGGATGGTATGCGGAAGTAATGGTGGCTAAAAGGGAGAAATAGGCGAAGAGGTTAGGAGAGTACCAGAGAGACTGAGAGACTGAGAGACGAGAGACTGAGAGACGAGAGACTGAGAGACTGAGAGACTGGGGGCACATGAAAAGCCTCTGGACAAGGACAAAGGACAGACTGACATGGTTAGGACCAAGACAGAAGCTCTCCGTCAATCCCGAGACCCCTCTGATGCTAAACCTGGAGGCAGAGGCTGATGAATCCGAGCTCCATCGTCTATTTCGAATGCGTAGTCGGGCGCGCGACGGCGAAGGAGCCAGGCGCGGCCACACCACGCTGCCCACGCATGTGAAGCTCATGGCCTTCCAATGTAGCGTGCCGAGTCGGGGGATTTGTTGCTAGGGATGCATACGCTGACGTACGGGGATGATGAAATGCCAAGTTCGAGGACGAGACTCGAGAGCGGTAAAAAGGGTGTTGTCACACAGTGTGTGAGAGCGCGAGAAGTTGAAGGAGAGAAGGGGAAGAGAGGGGGGGGAACAGGTCCGGGAGGGCATGAAAGATAAAAGGTGAGCCGCGTTTGGGAGCGGCTACCGGTGGGAAGGAAGAACCGAGGCGACCTTCCATGTCGGTGGCCGCGAAACCTGTCGTCTTCCCCTCAGGTGCTGCTTTACTCCGCACGCCTAGCTGTGGGGTTTCTATGGGGATTGATTGCGGGGAAGCTAAACCGATATGGCACAGGGAATGCGGGGTAACCCAGCCCCTATTTCAGCCCCTATTTCAGCCCCACCGTTGTCCCTGTTTTCCCATCGGTGGAGGCCAGCTACAGTACAGAGGCCTTTCGTACGACCACAGCACCATGTCACGACTGTACTGACTGTACTGACACCGGCTAGGGAGTTGAGCCCCCTTGCATAAAGCCAGTCCATGTCCCTATCGATGATATTTTTCTGCGCCGGAATTCCAAAGGACACCTCTGTCGCGTCGTGAAAACACAAATAAAACCAAAGTCTAGTGTGTGGTCGACCGTTTTCCATAGCGACCCATGTCAGCCGGGCTGTAGTGTAATAGAAGATGGTTGAACCTCGTTCGGAGCCTGTCCGCGCAGGGCTGAAGGAGAAAGAAGAAAGCTCGAGAAAAAAAAAGAAAGAGAGAACATGGTCGAGTCACTCCACTTGAATATGAACAGTATAACGAAAACAATCGAGCCAGAACCCAAACGAAAAGAATCGTCGCATCGTCATCTATCGCCAACTAGCGGGCTTCGCCGTCGGTTTTCCCCTCTTGTATCTCGCCAATGTGCCGCAGCTCCTCTGGCTTCCAGGTACCTAGTGCCATCTCAAAAAGTCAGCATTTTCGGAAGCAGCGCAAAAAAAAAAAAGAGGGTGGGTGAAATGGAGAACTGGCAGAACGCACCCTGGAATTCATGCTTGACAAAAGCCGTGGGATCATCAATATCCTTGGCCCCCATCTGCCCGACACCCGGACTGAAGCCCGTGATGGGCAGCACGATAACATCGCCGACCTTGCGCGACGCCTCCATGCCCGTAAAGTTGCGCCAGTCGATGGCGCCCGCCGACTGCTCCATGTCAAAGTACCGCGGGTCGTTGAAGTAGTCGAAAATAACATCCGTCCAGACCGCCGGGCCCGTGAACTCGACCACCCCGGCGTCCACCACCCGGCCCAGCTGCCCCGACTTCTTCCTCTTCAGCGTCTCCTCCGTGATGCGCACGACGACGTCGCGCAGGACCGGGTGGCCCGGCTTCGCCTGGATCGTCCACTGGCAGAACTGGATCCGCCGGCTGTACCAGTCCTTCCAGTCGGGTCGGTCCGGGTCGGCCTCGATGCCGATGACGAGGCCGATGGACGACCGCGGGATGCGTCCCGGCACCCAGTCGAGCGCCGACCGGATGGCGTACGTGTCGATGTCCGAGTAGATGCCGCCCCGGGCGAGCAGGATCAGGTAGCGGAAGAAGTCGGCCTTGAGCACGGGCAGCGGCAGGGCGGCGTAGGCCTCGAGCACCTGGGGCACCGAGGCGTAGAGAAGGCGCAGGAAGTGGACGGCCACGTCATCCGTGATGACTTCGTGGACAAAACCGGGGTGCTGGTCGGTCCAGCTCTGCTCCTGATCGCCGAATTCGAATTTCGGATCCTGCGGGTTGCGCTTCCACGTTTGCCAAATGTAAGCGGGGAACTTGCTTTCCACGTCGTACGGGAATTGATAGGTCAGCTTGTCGTAGAGCGACAGCTGGGACATGTCCATCATGGGTTGTTGTTTTTCGACCGGTTTGCGTATGCGTTGGATGGCCGTCTCGTCGGACGAGGGGGGTGGTGGTTGTTCGGCATTGGCCTTGTGGCCATTGTCTTGATGCGTCTCTGGCTGTGTATCGGGCGCATCGGAGGTACCGGGCTTGACGATCGGGATCGGTGCGGGTGCGGGTGCGGGTGAAGAGGAGTGCGAAGAGAAAATCAGATAGAGGACGATAAGACAGAAGGCGGCTGTCGCCACTGCTCTCCGAGGACTCAACATGTCGACGGCAGCGTAGGACGAGAGGCCGGCGAGAGGCGGATGAGAGCGGACCGATCAAGGAGCGACGTTGTGTCCACAGTTGTCCAAGACATGAATCGGTATATACGTCGCCTATTGTAGAGTAGGGCTTGGACAATGGCGCGCGATGGTTTCGCAGTTCTTTTCGATGAGTGATGCAATCGGCCGCGCGGTGAAGTGGCTTCGGGGTTGAAGAGGCTGTGTTCCCGAATATGTTGTTGATCCTGTGAGACGCAAGGCCGATCATGTCAGTTTTGGGATAAAAAAATAAAAATAAAAAGGCCCGGACGCGACGGAGCTGGCAGGTTTGCTCGATTCGGAGCGGAAAGAGCAGGAAGCGGTTAGGCGAGTAAAGGAAGACACAGAAAGGGAAAGGAAAGAGCAAGAACATACAATTACAATGCGAGCAGAGGTCTGGCGGACTAAGGAGGAAGCAAAAGCCACAGGCGACTGTTTCCCTTGACGGCGAGGCTGAGGAACAAGGCGGCGTACGGGGAAGGCTAGCTAAGTGCTTTCTCGAAGGGAAGAAGGGGAATTAGGACGGGATATTAAAAAGCATAAAGTAATAATGTCAAAGGAGTAGTGACAAGAAGTTAAATGGCGGTTTCGAGCGAAAAGCTGCCCCTCGTGGACGATGATGATGAATGATGCGTGGTGCTGGAAATGGAAGAAGGGCGCGGCAAAAAAAGTAGGGCCCTACTAGGGCGCCCGTACAGATGAGTATTTTGCCCGTAATATAGTGGGGCCCGCCAAGTATGATTAGTGACCTAAGTACCAACCCATTTTGTATATACACTTTAGGTACCCAAACACATAGATACAGCAGTAGAGAGTTAACTAACTCACCTGTCTTTTTCGCACACCGTTAATTAAGGCACTAAAATAACCCACGATATAGCAGATTATAATGGCTGAAGAACGACCCTACGGCTCTAGCCTACCTTCCGAGGTTTATACTTCCCACGAGGAGGGCTTTATAGCCCTTACTACCCACGCCTACTCGAACGGTTATAGTCTTATTATAAAGGAATAGTATCCCCGTGGGAGGTAGCCGATACGTATCACGAACCGCTATAGGAAAGGCAGGGCGCCGATAGCTCGAGAGACCCTAAGCCACGAATTAAAGCGCTGGAGGACTATAACCTAAATAATAGCCTGTTCTTTTACGGTTAACCTCCGCCGTTATGATACCCTTAGAGGGTGTGTTATAGAGGCTATGGTTAAGCGCGGCAGAGGCGAGCCGTTAAACTATAACCACGGCTAGGTTAAAGCTAGTTTATTTAGTCGATTTCGCGCCTATAATCTCGCGATATATAAGGACGAGATCGTTAGTATATAGAATAGCGGTATTCGGCCCCGCGAGATTATAATAAAGCTCCGTATCTCGGAATCTTCTAAAGGCGGCTAAGTTCTCCAGGTTACGAGGTCAGATCTCACGAACCTTCTTACTCGTCACCGCCGCGAAGAGCTTACTAGAAGGACTCTAATCCAGTGGCTCTACGAGGTAAGTCCTTATTACTCTATAAAACACTTAAATCCATACTAATTTATTAGTAAATCTCTGTATAAGATAGCTTCTACTACCGCGATCGCCGTAATTAACTTAGCCGGATATAATACCTCTTTATCGCGCCTAGGTCAGTAATTCCCCTTATATAATAAGCTCCCGATATCCTGGTTATCGACGTAACCTATAAAACTAATAAGTTTAAGATACCGTTAGTTAATTTCTGCGGGATATCGCCGCTACGTAGGTCCTTTTTAATTAGGATTACTTTCCTAAATAGGGAAAAAGAGCCCTAGTACGCCTAGGCGCTTAAGGCTTTAGCCGATTATATCTTAGCCCAGGGTTTATAGTTACCGCGGTATATTATTACGGATCGGGAGCTCGCCTTAATAAACGCCCTAAAATCATACATAAGCTTAAGATCGGTTACCAATATTCTATGCCGTTGGCATATTAACATGAACGTGCTGGTAAGGACCAAGGCCTTTTTCCCGAAGCCTATAAGGCTAGCTAGTGGCAGGGTTAAATGCCACCCAAGCTTCCACGCCTTTTTAAAGGACTGGAATTCGTTAATTTTAAGCCTAATAGTCGAGGTATTCGCAGAGCGACTTAGAGGTTTTAAGTAATAAGGAAAGCACCCAGAAAACGCAGTTAATTACTACGTAGGAACCTAGATTAATCCTTTTAAGGAAAAGATCGTGGATTACTTCGTGAATAAGGTGCCCTATTTTAGTAATAAAACCACCTCTATCGTAGAGTCTTCCCACGCTAGCCTTAAACGGTATCTCTACTCCTCTATAGATGACTTAGTAACTATTTTCCGTAGCTTAACGTTATACTAGAGTAATTAGCGGGCGGATCTAGTTCTGGAGAGGTAACGCCGAATTAATAGAGTGGACTTTCCTATAGCTAGAGTTCTCTTTAGCCTTATCAATTAACAGGTTATCCTATAGGTACTCGAACGGCTTAAGATCAAGCTTATTACCTTAGAAAAGGTACGTTAAAAGGAGCTATCGCGACTATAGCTACCGGGGCCTTATAGGCCTTACGCTATAACGACCTCCCTCGGCCTGCCTTACTAACATATACTATTTAACCACCACTGCGACTCCAAACCGCTTAGTATCGCGTTAATTAATCGGCACTAACGATAGAATCGTTATAATATAACTGCTAGTACCACGCTTCCGCCTCCTGCCCTTAGTCCCCTTAAACCTATAGTAGTACGGGGAAAAGGCCGCCTAAAAGGCGCCGTTACGATATCCAGTACGGGAAAGAAAAAGGGCGAAGGGAAGAATAGTACTAAACGGCTTCCCTTAAGCTTTGAAATCGCGGCTATAGAGGAGCGACGCGATACCCTCCTACTCGTAATAGCCCCCCCTACCTTAACTCTATACGAGCCTGGTATACAGGCACCTCGGTAATTTGCCCGGGTTTTCGAGGCCCTAGCGGAGGTTAACGAGGAGCCTGAGCCTGACTCTAAGGAATATAATTTAGAGCTTATTTCTGCTGAGTTTAAGGGTAAATTGGATGCGTTAGTGAGGCATGCTAAGGAAGAGACGCTTAGTCGACAGGAAGGAGAGAACGAGATAGAGGAAATTAAGGCCGTGATAGCTATTCTTAAATCCTAGGGTTATCGTGATAGTTCGCGATAGTTATTATAGTGGTTTAGTACTTTAGTTTATGTTTGCCCTTTAATTAACTCTCTACTACTGTATCTATGTGTTTAGGTACCTAAAGTGTATATATAAAATAGGTTAGTACTTAGGTCACTAATCATGCTTGGCGGGCCCCACCACATTACGGGCAAAATACTTATCTGTACGGGCGCCCTAGTAGGGCCCAAAAAGTAGCGGGCCGTTGAAGGTTGGGGAGTGGTTCCTGACAGGAATCCACCACAGCCAAGGTATCGTACCGGTAGTCGTACCAGTATTCGTGTACCGGTACTTCATGACGACATGTAGATACCTGGCGAATATTGAAACGACGGATCTTTGTGCTGACGTTGTACCTTTAACGAGACGACGAGACGACGAGACGACGAGACGAGGTACTTTTCGGTGATTTCATGCACCCTTTCTCAAGTCCAATCCGAAGAGCGGGAAAGAATTCTGTACTTCTTGCTCGGATTCGGTCCCATGTACGGATACATACGAAGTACTTAGGTAATTAAGGTACAAAGTGTCAATTCCCGAGTCGGGATTGGCGTCGTTTCAGAGTCGGTACGGAGAACGAAGTACCTACAGCATGCGTCCAGAGCTTCCATATCCAAAAGTCGTCGCATCCCAATGCTTAGGCAAGAGCTTGACTGTCCCTCTCCAGAGCTCAGACAGGGCGGGTCTTACAATGACTCTGCAAAGGTTTGGAGGCACTTACGAAAATCCTACAAATCAGTGTCAGATGCAGATGCAAAGGCCCCGAAAACGCAGATAGTATCGAATAAGGTAGATTATATTGGCGAGTAAAATGCGCGATTGTCCCCAAATACCGGTGGCAAGAGACGCAATCATATTGCCTCTCAAGCCCCAGCCCAACCCAACAAACGCCGACCTGTAAACGACGCCCTCCTCACTCCGTGCTTATATCCCTCACTCCTCCTTCCCCAAGTCGGCCAGCGTCCGAAACTGCGACGGCCGGGCCGCCGTCGTCTTCGCGGCAGACGGGTTCTTCGCCGCCCCGGACGCGGGCCCAAACGACGGCATCCACCCGGCCTGCCCCTGCCCCTGCCCCTGCCCCTGGCGCTGCTGGGGCGGGTTGACGCGGTTAAACGGCGAGTTTTCCGCGGCTTTGTAGGAATCGATCTATAGACTCCATGTTAGGCCACCAGTCGGTCAACATGGCCCAGAGGCCGCCCTCGGGCATGCCGAAGAGGTACCAACGCACCGCGATGAGCGACACCACGTATAGGCCAACAACGGTAACAACGTGCTGGATGACGGCCCAGATGCTGAAGCCGGCCGAGGCGGCGGCCGAAGGGCGCACCGTCCTAGAAGAACCGACGCCCTCGCCGCCGCCGAGGGTGCGGCCCGGGGCCTGGAAGGCGTGGCCGGCGCCGTGGCCCGGTTTGGCGGGCAGGTTGACGGCCTTGCTGATGGCGCCGGTGAGGGCGGGGGGGTTGGCGCCGCGGATGGTCTCGATGGGCTGGCCGGCGTGGAAGATGATGAAGGTCGGCATGGCGGTGACGCCGTAGGTGCGCGAGACAGAGGAGAGGGAGTCGACGTTGATCTTGCAGAAGGCGACCTTTTTCGGTTTGGAGTGTTCTTTGGAGAGTGTCTCGAAGTGCGGCGCGATCATCTTGCAGGGGCCGCACCAGTCGGCGTAGACTAGAACGTGGGGGAGAGGGGGAGGAGACCGCAGGTTAGTGGGCGCTATGGGTCGAATGGAAAGAGTCGGGATGTTTCCGGGGTGGCCATTGAGCACTCACAATCTGCGACGACGACGTTGGTGGTGCTGAGGATGTCCTGCCACTGTCCGGCGGACTGGATAGTGATGGGGCCACTCATGATGGAGGGATGCGATGTGTATTTGATGTAAGGTCGAAATGAAGGCAGAAGTTCAGTCTGCTGTCTGTTGTCTGTTGCCTGTTGCCTGCTGTCTGCTGTCTGCGGTCTGCGGAGGAAGATCTATCGTACATACTGGTTCTTAGGTACGAGCGATGAAGTGAACCCGTGGCAAAAGCACTCCACTCGTCTTTGGTACTTCGTACTTCGTACTTCGTATCGTCACTGGAGCGGAAGACTAAGGTACAGGTACGATGCATGCGGAGTCAGCGGGGCGACAACCCGAGGAGAGTATCTAAGGTAGGCACCTTACGCACTATTGGAAGGCGGTGTGAGTGATTAGATAATTGCCCATTTCTGCCCACCAGCGTAACTTTTTTTCTGTGACAGCAACGAGGACTTCACTCCCCATCCTCCCAGCAGACAGACACCATATACAGAGAGCTCTCCACACCAATTGCACGTCATGTCACATTCAGACTATAGAACCAAGGTCAGTCTATATTATTCCAACCCATACATCTTCCTCTCCACGTCTGCTAACCCACCGTCAACAGAAGAGGAAGCTCGGTCACAATGGAGCGGCAGACGACGTCAACACCTCCAAGCCCTCGGCGCGATTCAACCCATCCCAGGGAGGCCGTGACTGGACTATATCTGTAGCTATCCCGGGTAGCATAGTCGCCGAGTATGTTGCCGTCTTCTGTTCCGTCTTGTCTCAGTCTTGTCATCCCCTGCAAAGTCGTCAAGTCTTAACTCTCCATCCAGCCACCGCACGCTGGATCAGCGCATGACAAGCCCAGGCCGCATTGCCCGCGCCCTCGCCGTCTTCTCCGTCGACGAAGTAGTCGTCTACAACGATATGCCCTCCCCCTCCCACTCCTCCGACCTCCAAACATCCGCCTCCTCCTTCTACCGGACCCAGCGCCCCTCCCACCAGGGCCACCAGGGCCACCACCCGCGACAACGCCCCGGCCAACGACACCAAAACAACAACGACTCCGACGCCGGCGCCGACTCCTCCTTCACCGCCGACGTCGACCCCTGCCACTTCCTCGCCCACCTGCTCTCCTACCTCGAAGCGCCCCCCTTCATGCGCAAGACCCTCTTCCCCATCCACCCCAACCTCCGCCTCGCCGGCCTCCTCCCGTCCCTCGACATGCCCCACCACCCGAACCCCATCGACACCGCCATCCCCTACCGCGAAGGCGTCACCCTCGACCGCCCACCCCCCGCCACCGACTCGGACGCCGCCTGCCTGGTCGACATGGGCGCCAAATCCCCCGTCTCCCTCCCGGACGCCATCCCCCCCAACACCCGCGTCACCCTGCGCTTCCCCTCGGGCTCCTTCGAGCACGGACCCGCCGAAGCCGTCCACCCGGCCACCCCGCGCGAGGAAGGAGGTTACTACTGGGGCTACGCCGTGCGCCGCGCCAGCTCCCTCTCCGCCGTCTTCGAAGAATCTCCCTTCGAAGGGGGGTACGACGTCAGCATCGGCACCTCCGAGCGCGGCGACTCCGTCTCCCGCGCCTTCCCGCGCCACGACCGCGCCCTGCCCTTCAAGCACCTCCTCATCGTCTTTGGCGGGCCGAGGGGCATCGAGTTCGCCGCCGCCAACGACCCCCAGCTTTCCGAGCTGGGTGTGGGCGGCGGTGCCACCCGGGAGCTGTTCGACCACTGGATCGACGTGCTGCCGAACCAGGGGAGCCGGACCATCCGTACCGACGAGGCTGTTTTCATTGCCTTGACTGCTTTGCGGAGGCTGTGGGATTTGAGCTGAGCGGGTGGGTGAACAGATTCAGCCCCGCCACTTATTTGCCCTTTAGAGAATACCCCCATTTTCGGAAAAGAAATCTCAAAAAGTTCACTTTATTTTCTTATACTTTTCCTCGTCCTCTTCCCTTTCCTTTCCTTTCCTCCCTCTACAGTCATTACCGTCTATCCATTTACATGCTGCGCATGGTTTCAAGACGACATCCGTACCAGCTGAAATCAAACCTCAACCCCCAGGCACACTCCTCTCACCACCACCATTCTCATACACCGCAATAAGCGAAGTGAACCCAGCCCGATTATCATCAAACCACGCAATGTCCTCCTCATCCCGTGTAACCATGGCCCTCGCGCCCACAACGTTCAGATTGTAAACCACAACAGCCGGGTTCGACGACGCCGTCACCCCAAAGATCCGCTGCTGACATATAGCCCCGTATCCCTCCCGCGAGCAGTCCGTGTCGTAGTTGTTGAAGAAACTATACAGCCCGGCCCCGTAGACGAAAAACGCCCGCGTATCGCGCACCAGGAGACCCCAGGCCATGGCGCACGGCACCGTCAAGGTCGCGTTCGCCTCCACGGCCGGGTCATGCGGGTCGCGCCTCTCCCGCCCGCGGCACGTCTCCCCAAAGTCCGGGTCGCCGTACCCCTCGACCAGGGGGAACGGCACCGGCGCCGGCGGGTTGGGCTGGAAATACGGCGACTCCGTCTGGATGTGGCCCATGTAGACGTCCCTCGCGCCCCGGAAGCTGTACTGGTACAGCACGTGGTGCTCCGACGCGCTGGCCGAGAACCACAGCCGCCCCCGCTCGCTGTCCACCAGCACGCCGCGCCCCGCGTACAGCGAGATCTGCGCGTACTCCTGGTCCTCGAGGTCGTGGTCCGCGATCCACACCCAGCAGTTCTCCATCAGCAGCCCGGACGCCGGCCGCGTGATGTGCACGCTGCCCCACGCCACCACGCACTGCGCCGGCACCGACTCGGCCGTTGCCATCTCTTTGCCCGGCGTCGCGGGGCACTGCTCCAGCATCTGCTCCGTCCCCGGGTACCCGCCCACCCGGACATGCACGTCCCACATCCCCGACGGCTCGTGGGGCCACGCCCCCGCGTCGAGGTTGACTTCCAGCACCAGCGCCCCGGGCGCCGCGCCGCGCGTGCCGAGGATCATGTCGGACCACTCGACACGGCCCTTGTCCCCCGGGTACCCCACGCGGACGACGGGGCGCGGGCGGGTACTATCCGCAAACGCGTCCCCGCCGCCGAGGATATTCGACGCAAGCGCCTCGCCCACGATGCGGGCCCCGGGGGGGATGAACACCGTGTCGGACACGAAATAGGTCCCGGCGTCGACGAACGCGATCAGGCTCGTGGTAGCCGAGAAGGCGAAGAGCTTGTTCAGCGCGTCCGTGTCGTCGGCCCGCCCGTCCCCCTTGGCGCCGAAACGGCGCGCCGAGACGAACGCGTCGACCGGTTCGCGCTCGTACTGCGGCTTGGACCGCTCGTAGTACCCCCTCCCTTCCTTGCCGCCGTCGAGGAGGGCGCGCGGCGGCGACGGGAAGAGGACCGGGTCGCTCCCCGTAACATCGGTCGGCCCGAAGGGGTCGTAGACGTGGCCCATGACGAACCCCACGTGGGCGAACGACACGTCCTGGCCGGGGATCAGGACCCCCTCCGGGCCGGTGAGGATCTCCTCCACCTCATCGAAGACGACGTTGTACATGACCAGCGACCCGGCCGCGGGAGGCCGAGTCCCCGTCGTCAGCCGCCTCGTCTCGATGGCGGTCCCGACGCTCCGGAACGCGCTGTCGAGGATCGTGATGGACGTCGCGTACCCCATCCGGATCCCCGTGGTGCAGTTCTCGATGTAGAGGCTCTTGTAGGTCCAGCCCCAGTTCCACACGTAGCTGACGGCGACCTGGGCGTGGTAGAACTTGAGGTTCCGCGCCGTGTACTGCTGGTTCCCGAAGTTGGCACCCAGCATGCCGCCGTAGAAGGTCAGGTCGTTGAGCAGGCCGCCGGACCCTCCGTCGATGAGCAGCCCGACGTGCTCGCTCTCCGGGTCGTCGGACAGCCGGAACTCGCAGTTGCTGATGGACGTGGCTTGCGACGACGGCCAGTGGATGCCCAGCGCGCCCCCTTCGGGCGGGATGGCCGTCGTGTCGAGGACGAGGTTGCGGATCTGCCGGAAGAAGACGTTGACGGGGAGGTAGGCCAGCATGCCTTCGTCGGTGTACGGGTTGGCGTCGATGAGTCCCAGGGACTTGTCCAGGTCAAAGGTCGAGGCGGCTTTGATGACGGGTCGGTCGGTGGGATCGCCAATGAGCTGGGTGTAGTAGTAGTCGATGATGGAGTTGCTGATGAGATACGTTCTGCGGCTTCTCGTCAGTCTCCGCCAGTCCTCGCCAGTCGAACCCACTGTCTGATCCATGGCCGTCCCTCCACGAGCAGATCAATGATTATCGCTAGCTAAGCACTCACCCAGGAGGGAAATAGACTGTGGCCGGGGTGATGGTCGACTGGTTACACACGCCAGGCGCACAACGGTCGTCAAAGCTGATGGCACGGTTGATGGCAGCCGTGTCATCCTTCACACCATCACCCACGGCACCAAAGTCCTTGACGTTGCGGAAGATCTGGTACTTCGGATTCGGGTTGTATGGCGAGATGCCTTGGTGGGCGATCTCGGCCATCCAGAAGGCCTCCCCTGCCGTGGCCACCGCCACTAGGAGAAACACGGAGACGAACATGGCGAGTTCGGTCAACGGAGTAGAAGATGCTCAAAATCGGTTGACAGAAACGAGTTGATTCCTCCACTGTGGACAATCCCCAGTCGATCTGAACTCATCCACTTGCAGCGGAAGACCGGGAACGTAGCGTAACGGATGAGAGAGAGAGAGAGAGAGAGAGAGAGAGAGAGAAGAGGGTAAGGAGAACCTTCTCCCCCTCCCGCCCTCTCAGTCGCAGCGATTCCATCAAGAGTTTTATCGGAAAACACCGACAACGCGATGACAGCCTTGGTCCATTCCAGGGGCAAAAGCCACCACACCCTCTTCCCGGAAATCAAAGGTCGGAGAGAGAGACGGGGGCCTCTCGCGAGACGGGTCACCCGGCATGTTGTTGGTGATGACAGCTAACGACAGCTAACGACAGCTACTGGATCTCGCGGAGCTTCGTCGCCTTCGAGGGAACCCATTGACGCTAAGCAGGGGTGATACAGAATCATCCTAATCTCCTTGATGGGTGTTGACCAGAGGGAATGGACGAGGTGGCCCGATGGTATAGTAGTCTCGTAGCCGAAGCCTGTTTTAGTAGTGGCGATAGCAAGACCGAGAGTCCGCAGAGGTTGATGTTTTTGTTTATGCCATCTTGAAGAAGTCTGTTGTTTTTTGAAGCTCATGCATGATAGATGTTGTTGTGCGTTCATGTTATGTCGCCGGTAGAAAACAACAGTTGTGGCTTGGGTTCGTTCGACGTTGCTGTGGCTCGTCCAACGTGATGACTGACGTTGCTCACATCCGTTTACAGTGTACACTAATTACCTTAGTCCTTCACCAACCCAAGTCAGGGACACAGGGGTCTGTTGTCTCTCGTCATCTCAGCGCCAGTCGGAATTGAGTTGGAATAGTGGCTGGGGACGCAAAAACCGGTCGTCCTGGCATCGTCGTGTGTACGTTGGAAGTGCGACGAAAAAGGTTATCTCGCCAAGACTTGGGCCATCCAAAGGTCCAGGGCACCTTCTTTCAAGATGACGGTGATCGTAGGTCCTCGAACTGGTCACAAACTTGGAGCTGGATGAACTCTGCGAGGCGATGGCTGTAAGTCAGGGTAACAACACGACGCGACGGGGGGTAGGAAGGAAAGGCTGAGATCCGAAAAGGCCACTTGCCACTTCGTCTCCAACACCTCCGTACGAACTGAACTTCATGGTCTCGGTCCGACTAGAACAAGCCTTGCTTGGCGTCGACCAATGCTGGTAATGTTATGAGCTGACGCTTGTTGGGCGACCTTCATCTAACCTGTTTGCACTCTCACTGTTCGTCATAGTCAACAATCCGTCCATGTTTTGAGGACAACCGAGGTCTTGCTCGCCCCAATGTTGAAGGGACGACGACACTCGGTCCTAAATAGATGGGACAAAGGACCCGTGAGAGAAGGGTTGCCCCCCGTGGTGAAGGGGAAGGGAAAAGACGCCCGCCTCAGAAACGCCAGTCCATGTATCCCGAAGACATCCCATAATTACAGCCTGGTCTATACCGCCGAGAGAAGAAAGGAAACAGAAAAAAAGAAGAAGAAAAAGGAAAGAAAGGCATGAGCTCCGTCCGTCTTGGTTCGTGGGTTGGCGCAAATCATAGAACCTTGGGAGCATCCTCCAACGCTACCGTGTGACCGAGATCCTTCCCCCCCATGGCCTTCTCGCCTGCCCTCTTGCGAAGCACGTTCTCGATGAACGCCTCGCCCGCCTTGTAGCTGCTCCGGACGAGAGGTCCGCTAGCACAGTACAGGAACCCCATATCGAGGGCTCGCTGGCGCCACATCTCGAACTCGTCGGGCGTGACATACCTCTCGACCTGGAGGTGACGCTTGGTTGGGCGCATGTACTGGCCGAAAGTGACTACGTCGACGTTGGTCTTCCGTAGTTCTGTGATGAGAAGCCATGTTAGCGAACCAGAACAGAAAAGGAAAAAGAAGAAGAAAAAAAAAAGAGAAAAAAAGGGAAAAAAGAAAAGAAAAAAAGAAGAAAAAATCTCACCCCTCAGCGCATCCATGACCTCGTGCTCCTGCTCGCCCAACCCCAACATCAAACTCGTCTTGGTAATAAGCTCCGGCTTCGCCGCCTTGGCCGCCGCCAACACCTTCAAACTCTGCCGGAACGTCGCCCTCCGATCCCGCACATACGGCGTCAGCCCCTCCACCGTCTCGACATTATGCGCATAGACATCCAGCCCGCTCCCCGCCACGACGGCCACCATCTCCTCGTCCCCCCGGAAATCCCCCGTGAGGGCCTCGACAAGGATGCTCGGCTTCTTCGCCTTGATCCTACGAATCGTCTCCGCAAAGTGCCTCGCCCCGCCGTCGGCCAGGTCATCCCGATCCACGCTCGTCAGCACCACGTACCCCAGACCCCAACGCGCCAGCGCCTCGGCCGTGTTCTCGGGCTCGTGCGGGTCGAGCGGCGGCGGCGCGCGCGACGTCTTGACGCTGCAGAACCGGCACCCGCGCGTGCACGTGTCGCCCATGAGCATGATGGTCGCCGTCGCCGCGTTCTTGTCCGACCCGCCCCAGCACTCGCCGATGTTGGGGCACCGCGCCTCCTCGCACACCGTGTGCAGGCCCAGCCCGCGCAGGTCGCGCTTGATCGCCGCGAAGTTGGCGCTGCCGCCCCCCGGGATCCCCGTCTTCAGCCACTCCGGCAGCCGCGTCACCGTCTTCTTCTTGCCCGTCGGCGTCGTCACCTCCACCGTGCGGATCTCGTACGCTTCCGAGGGGGAGAGCGCCGGCCCGCCCGTCGTGGAGCTGCTGCCGACGAACTCGGCGAAGGGGGCCACGGCGGTGTCCTTGAAGTAGGTCTTGCGGCGGCCTTGGGTGGGTTGCGTAGCTGACGACGAGGACAGCCCGGACGAAGACGGGGAAGAGGATGTCGATGTCGATGTCGATGTCGATGCCGATGTCGATGTGGATGTGGATGCGGATGCGGATGCGGATGTCGGCGTGGGAGGAGTAGGACGGATGGTGGCGAACAAACGGACGGTTTGCCCGGCGATAGCCCGTGTCAAGGCCCCGCGGGCATGTCGCAATGGAACGGCCGGCGATGTCATTTTTGTCTTCCTGTGGCTTTCGGCTGTTCAACGCCCAAAACAATCTCGGGTGGAAGGGTGGAAGGGTAGAAGTGAACAAAGAGAGGCCCTAGAGGTGATGACAATTGACGGAAGGAATCAACTTCAATGACCCCCCAGAAATTTGATGACAATTACTTACCCGGATCGGAACAACCGGGTTTGACGCGGGTCCAGCACGAGGCCAATCAGAGAAGACTCTTTCCTAAGAGCTTATCCGATAATCTTATCCCGGTTTGAAGGATCGAATCGTTATACCAGGTCTACCACATATCCGTACTCCGTACAATTAATTGCCTTGTCCGTACATTGCCAAATTCGGCAGTGACTTGGACTGGGTAACGACTTGCACGGCATTCTGAGCAGCATCACGTTGCTTCCCATTCAGTAAAAGTCACCACAATCAACTTCAATTCTTTTCCCCCGCTACCATACGCCGAGTCACCTAAGAAAGACACGGATGGCCCCGTTTCCCCTCGTAAAAAGGGAAAAATTCTCCAATCGGCCATTTTCGCGTGCCCTCAAATCAACACATAAACCTAAACCCCCCCCCCACCTTCATTAAAGAATAGAAGCCACCGCAAGAAAATCCAGGGTATCAAATAAATGGGCCAATGAAGAGAAACCCTCATGTTCCAGATACCAAGCTTGCCGTCCCAGATCACCAAACCCACACCGTCCCCATTCCCTCCTGAGTCCCTGGCGTATTGGCAGATAGGGGTCTGAAGAGAGGAGCATGAAAGAACAGCCCCCAGCCTGTACATGAACACGCATGCGTGCAAGGCAGGTCGCCCGGGGGAAAGAGAATCTCACTTTCAAATGATAGAATTGACCAAGAAGAATAAGAGATCAAGTGTGTGGTCCAGGCAAGCAGGTCAAGAAACGGGTAAAAAGGGGTGTGCAAGAAAAGTATGCTGTGTCCAGCTTCAAAACGAGTCCTCTCATAATTGGCAGATGCAGTGAGGACCAGAAAATAAAAATAGAAAATATGTTCCGCTTTAGGCCATGACCGAAAACAAGTTTCATACGACTTCCAAGGCGCAGGTACCGGTAGGTGCCAGGGAGGTTGTCAAAGCCATGGGACTGAAACTTGAGGTCGGGACGAAGGCCCAAAGCTGAAGAATCACAAAATGTTCAAAGAATGGTAACAAAGGAAAGAAAAATAGGAGACGGATGATCGCATCGTAGAATTCGGAGGAATAGTATCATCGAAACGGGCCGTGTTAGCGCTATGCACCACACGTGCCCTGAAAACCGCTCTCATGTCCACGTCCCCTTCGCATTCATCGTCCTGGCTCCGGTTGCCGAGGACGTCCTATTTGGCCCCGTGATCGGCAGTGCAAATGCTTTGACATTTTACATCATGGCAACGACCATCATACCGACGGCACCAGCAAGAGCGGCCTTAACAGCACTCAGCGAGGTGCCGGCACTGTCGTCGTCGTCGACGACGGCACTGGAGGAGCTGGCGGCAGCGGCCTCGCTGGTGGCCGAAGCCTCGGCAGAGCTGAGGATGGAGCTGGCGAGAGAGGTGACAGAGGCGACAATGCTGCTCGAGTTGGGCTGGATGGTATAGGTGGCCGTCTCGACAACCCTGGCCAGCATGACGGTGTGAGTGAGGGTGACGGTGGACGTCGTGGTTCCGGTGGCTTCACCGTCTCCTTGGGCCAGGGCCAGGGCGGGGAGGAAGACGGCGCTGAAAAGAGTCGTGACCTTCATGATGCCGTTTTGGACGGGGTATTCGCAGAAGCAGGTTTCTGTCAAAGAAAAAAGGGGTATTCGTACGCGCTTTCAAAGCTGCGTTGTCGTGATGATGTTTCTGTGACGAAGGTCGCCAAAAAGTGTGTGATGTTGCGGGTTTACTACGCGTCTCCGGTGCAAGTGTTGTTTGCAGGAGACGGCACGTTAAGTTCAAAGTCTTTCAAAGATTGTCCCTGTCGCTACCCCAGTCGCCGTATCGTGTCTTGGCCAAATGATGGGAAAAGTATTCGCGCAAGTCGAACGTGTGTGCGTATATGTGTACGAGCGTTTGCGCGGTATCTTGGCTTGGAAGGGGAATCAGTTGGTCGACGCTTTGCGTGTATCGTTACGTGACACTGAAATGCAGTACGATGGTGCTTGGCTGGACGTCTAGTCGAGTCGAGTCGCGATCGGTCAATGCGAAACGAAAGTGCTGAAATGTGTATATAGGCGAGAGTGCGCTGCGCGTCGTATCGAGAAGTAGACTTTGCCAACGAAGTCTTGATTTGTTTGTGGGTGTAAAGGAAAAAAGAGTGGTGAAAATGCGCGAGCGCGGCTTTGAAGCAGGTTGTTTGAAGGAGAGTCGTGTGTGAGTGGAAAGAAAACCCGAACAGAAAAAAAAGGAGGGTGGGAAAAGACGGGAGGCAGATGAGGCAGGAAAAGGGAAGGCCGAATAATGTGGTGCGACGGAAATGAGCTTTTCCCCTTTTTTCCCCATCGGCCTGGGGAGGTGGGGCAACGAAAGGCGGCACTTCGGGCAGGAACCTGTGGAAATCACTCCCAATCTGAGTCCCAGTGCGTGCTCTGGCAACGCTTCAACGCTGGCAACGCCCGGCCCCCCCTTCCCCCGTTGTGGAGAGGGAGACGGCCCTTGCGCAGGCAAGGGGCCAATAGCTCTCAGGAATGTGATTTGCCAAGAGCCGCCGTCCTGCAAGGTACCCGGCTGTTTCCCCACTAGCCCTATTATATGGGTAACTATGTACCCGAAACTTTCAAAGAGCCTTCTTTTTGGTGTGACAATGGGGTACTGGCAACTTATGACTGACTGGAGTCGAGGAAATTAGAGCCTGTCTCCCGATCAACCCCTCACCCGATGACCTGGGCCCACTGGCATTTCAGCTCCGAATGCCTTCAGGAGAATGCCTTTGTAGAGCGTACCCCAGGTTTTAGGAATGTTGTTCCTGTTCCTTTGTCCTTCCTTTCATTCTTCCGTCACAACTCGCCGGACTCGGTCAAACAGCAAACCCTGGGGTAAGCCTATTTGCACGTCGAGTCGTCACAACGTACGCCCAGCGCAATTCGCTCCGAGGGCTGCTATTGCTCGGAAATTGATGCCCTTTGGAGAGCACCTGAGAGACAAGCCCAAAGCAACTGTTCAGATTGCCAGCGGGACCTGAAGGGCAAGCGAAAGGGACAGAAGACGGCAACTGGAGTGACCCAAGACGTGCGCACAAGCAAAACCCAAGACTTCCAATTTCCCATCCCTATGCCTTGCTCCACGCTGATTGGACATCCAGCCGAGCAGCATCACATCGGGTCACACGTTGGATTTCACTTGTGGTCCCTGGCACTAGTCCCGAAATAGGCAATGTATCGGTCCTGGCCTGGTTGCCGTTTGTCCCTGATTGGGTTACGATTTCAAAGATCGGCTGGTGTGACTCCATTCCGACATTCTCTTCAAAAGGTACGGGAGGTACACTAGAATTCATTCCGACATTCTCTTCAAATAAGGTACGGGAGGTACACTAGAATTCTGCTAATGGATACCTAGGTATGAATATTTCGATCGTTGGCGTCATCATCCAAATCATCTTCTTTCTTTCTCCGCCATTCAGGAAGAAAAAAAAGACAAGAAAAAAAGGCTGTCGTTCCCGAGGCACTTCAACTCGTATCGTCCTCTTCCCCTTGTCCTTCGCCCTGAAACTCACCAGGTGGCGCGTACGACGTACCCAGACAGACCCAAAAACAGACCCGAAACCGCTCAGGCCCGAGCCGCGGAGAGGCCTACTCATCACGGAAACGTCGAATAATAGGCCAAAACCTGCATGTGTGTCACAGGTAAAACCAAGGTTACCTTATAATAGAAATCCTATAGCGTTGGAGACATCATGGTGCGACCGCCCCAGCTCGACGGACAAAACAATGCTTTTGGGTCACGTGCTCTTCCTTGACCACTACGGGTTCGCTGATGAGGATGGCTTGGCTCCTCACCGCATAAACTCGGCGACCCGGCGGGAACAGGGAACAGAAAAGGCGGACGAAATCCTCCCGTCTTTGGTTTGTACCTCAACCACACAACGCATTCGTTGACCCGCCCTGGACCGCCTGCCTCCACCTCACACCTCACACGAATTGACTGCCACGTCGCTGCGTGTCCTGCAGTGTCCCGCGCCTACCCATTCACGTCCCACGTGGCACCCTACACTTGTACCCGCAATCTGTGTCCTGTGTGATCCTCCAGTCTACAGTCCGCGAAATGGGGATTGGACTGCTTATTACGTAGCTTCGCCTGGGTGTACTTGCAACAACTGCCACAAAAGGCATTCGAGCGTTGCCAGGCATGCTCCAGAGGGACTCGGCCATTCAATGCCGGACTTGAGAACCAATCAAGACGGCTTTGCGAGAAACGACTATACGTACAATGAAGACGCATTTCACAGCACAAACTCATGGTCCTACGTGACTCTTGATATTGTGGTTATATGCGATTATATACACGACAACTATTAGCCCAGATATCAGGCATGAAACAACAAACAATCTGTCGGTCAACCTCGGCTCGAGGGCCGTGGACCTCAGGAGCTTTGACTCCGATGAGCCCAATTAGTCCTCAATGCAGACGTCCTCGGTGGGCTCGGGGGCGGCCGAGGTGGTGGCGGGAGGGGGCAGGCAAGAGCAGGCGGAGCTGACGCGAGAGATGACGTTGTGGCCGCAGGCGTTACGGGCGTAGTCGGGGACGACCGAGACGTCGGCGATGATGGTCTTGGTGAACTCGCCGCAGAACTGCTGGCTCTCCTCGAGGCGGCCCTCGGTATGGGTGGCGCGCATGGCACGGAGGCAGTTGTCCGCGTTGCACGAGCGGGGCTTGCACTTCTCCTTCCTGGTCATCTTGACGAGGTAGCCGCCGCGCTCGATGGTGTTGATGTAGATGAAGCCCGAGGGGAACATGGCGTATGAGGACCAGGAGCCGTTCATCAGGACGGCACCACCGCCGGGCTCGTCGTCGTCCTCGGGGTAGATATCGAAGTAGGCGATCTCGCAGACGCCCTCGCCGGTAGGGTCTTCGGGGATAGAGCTCACATCGTAGACGCGGAGACCGGCAACATAGCTGGACTGATAAGCGATGCCATCGACAATGTAAAGGTTGTGGTCAACGGTGGGGACGGTGCCTGTGTGATTGTTTAGTTAGCTTTTCCTGCGGCGAGTAAGAGGTCGACGAGAGTAAAAAAAGGTTGAGGTAAGGGGGAAAAAGAAGAAAGGAAGAAAGCCAAAAAAAAAAAAAAAAAAAGAGAGAGACCAACTCACCCTTGAAGATGCCGGTCTGCTTGGGGTTCTCGAGATCGCGGACGTCCCAGATATAGGTGACGGGGTACCCGTCAGCGGCAGGGCCGACAGCGTCAACCTCGTCGTACTCATCGTCCATGAGCAAAAACTCCTGCCACTGGGCGTCGAGCAGCCATCCCTGATGGGTGTAGGAGGCACCCTCGTACGAGGTGACGGAGATGACGGACGAGTTGGCCTTGTCGGTCACGTCGTAGATGGTCAGGGTGTCCTCGTTGTAGCCGTAGCAGACCTGGCGGCCCTGGTACTTCTCGTGGGGGCCACGGTAGGTCAGGCACTGCGCATCGTGGACGTAGCCGTCCTGGCCGTTGCAGCCGATGCGGGTCGGGTTGGTGGGGTCGGTGAGGTCGAAGAAGATGAGGCCCGAGCGGCAGGCGTCGGTGCGAGGCCGGGAGCCGACGGCGGCACCGTAGTTGTTCTCCTCGTCGACAACGACGTTGTGCATGCGGTTATCGGGGGTGTCCATGAAGTGGCTGGCGACGTCGGTGCGGATGTCGAAAGCCACGGGGGCCACGGCGGGATCAATGGTGAGGAGCTGGTCGACAAGAGTTAGCCATCACTGCCCCTGGTCCTCCTTGTCCTCTAGACTTCAACATACCTTGCTCATGTCAAAGATCTGGATACCATGGCCGGCCAGCTCGGAGCCGATGAGCATGTAGTTCTTGTAGGAGCGAATCTCCTTCCAGAACGCATTGGGGTTGGTGGGAGCGGGGCAGGGCCTAGAATCGATTGTCTCAGCAAAAGAGGACAAACCGGATGGGAAGAGGGAAAGGGGAAAGGGTGGGGGCATAATGTGGACTCACAAGAAACCGAGGTGGAGGAAACGACCCTCGGGAAGAATCTCGAGGAACGCGGTGCCGTCGTACATGCCGCTGGCGACAAACTCACGGCCCGACTCGGGGTCGGTCCAGCCCCAAGAAGAGCTGCCGGTCAGGAGCACACCGTCACCGAGCTCATCCCAGCCGTTGGGGGAACCCAGGGTGGCGTGGTTGATGAAATCGTAGAGGTCGATGTTCTTGCAGCGGAAGGTTTGCATGGGGTCGCCGGGGACGGCCTCGGCCTTGCCGTTGATGCACTTGGTGTAGTTGAGGCGGGGCCACTGCTCGGAGCTCAGGAGGCCGGCGTCGTACTCGGCCATCCAGGCGTTGATCTTCTTCTCCATGAGGCGCTCGTGCATCTCGCCGCTGTCGTAGAGCTCTGGGGAGGGTCGGACGTCAGAGAAGAACTAACATGCACGGGGCGGGGGTCATGGGGATGCAGCAGGATGAACTTACCGGCAGCCCTGGCCTCGTCCTTGGGGAGCTCCTTGGCCATCGCAACGGAGGCGGCAGCCAGAGCGGCGCCGGAGATGGCGTTGAAGCGCATGGTGAAATGGGCTCAACGCTTTGAGGGGAGATGGAGAAAGAGAAACGGGGGGGGGGGGGTCAATTAGTGGACAAGCGACACCGAAGGGAGGGCGGAGAGGGAGGAGAGGGAGGAGAGGGAGGATGAAGGGTGAGAGGGTGAGGTGAGGCACGCAACCAACACTGAAAGAACGCGGAGACGAAGAGCGGGTGATATTTATGCTCCCATCGATTCCACCGCATTCGCAGTTCCTTCCGGATATTTGGGGCGGTGGATCCGTCAGCGCATACACCACATGTGCGGACGATAAAGCTAACCCTGGCCCTGGTCACCATTGATTTTCCTAACCCATTTTCTCGAAGAGCTGGGCCTGGGCTATGGGCCACGACCTTGGAAGCCAAGGACGAATTAAGGTCAGGCGTGCCTTGTCATTGTGGTTTGTTACGCGAGATCAAGAATAGGCAGAGAACGAATTGCAGAGGAGGTGGCGAGAGAGGACGAGAAAAGAAAAAAGAAAAGAAAAAAAAAAGATTCGAGATGGCAGAACGGTAGAAGGCATGGATTGCGTTCTGTTATTCTGTGGTGAGTGAGCTCTGGGTCGAAGCTGCCCCAAGGGTCATTCACATGGCTGGCCAAAGCAACAGGGGTCGTTTATCAACTTCCTAGTTGGGAAGGTGCTCGGGGTGATCGATGTGGGGCTAATGGGCCTTCCGTACATAGACTTGGCATATCCGTCCAATCAAAAGCTAAGATATATTGGCTGCTTTGGCTGTCACCAATCTTCGCGTCTTCGCAGGTACGTACCTCTACAGAGTTACTTGCAGGACTTGACTCAGGTACTCCCGTAATTACATTGAGGCGGGGACATCGTAGGACCTGGATCATCGTGACCGTTGGGATGCGACTGCTTCTTTCCCAGGTCACAGGGCGAGGACCTTTCCAACCCCGCTTCTCCCCAAGATCCGAGTACGCAACCGCTGAAGGTAGCACCTACCTTACCCAGAACTAACGGTCGACAAACCTTCCCGACTTTCAGGGCTGGAGACTATTGATCGGCCCGAACTCGGAAGTGGCGATACAACGTACCTAACACACGATACAGAAGATACATGAGGGCGGATACCTTACCAGCCCTACTCCTATTGATAAGGTCGCTGTTCAGCGCTTATCAGCTTCAATTCTGGACATCTCCATCTCGGACATTCGCATTCGGCATTTCATTCTCTTGATAGTTTTTACCCACTTATGCAACTTATCATTCTTCCATCCATCTTCTCTCTTCTGTTAACTCTGCATTAGATCGTTAAATTACCGCCGCCGTCATTTAATAGTCGACAACCCCCCATCTCTCCTCCTATCTTCCACCGTAGACGCCGCCACCAACAGCCAACCTTCCCTTCTCGAAGCTCTTGAAGCCGCCAAGACCTACGCCACCAAGCCATAGGCCCGTTAGACTCATCAAGCCGAGGCTCCTCCGAAAATCCCAGTCTCCAGAGATAATACAACGTACGTCAAAGTCGACAGGCCGAACAAGCCGGTCTTCACATCAGGCACCCGACAGCCAAAGGCCTCCCAGCTCTCGCTCACCCTCACCCCTCACCCCTCACCCCGGTTAACCATGGCCTTATTCGCATATGCAGCTTGGCCTTTGTGCGTCGTGGTCCTTACCCCTTTGGATCTTCCCCGCCTTCGTAAAGAGTTGCATCGAAGTTCCGGCGAACCGAACCCGACTGGCCACCATTGGCTGGTCATCATCCCATCACTGCCTCAGCGCCCTGAAGATAGGATACTCATCCCCTCTCGCAACCGGCACATCGTCATACCGCACGAAAGAAGCGGTATTCTCCGGCTCGAGCGTGGCGAACGCAAAGGCCGCGTTCTTCTAAGTTCTGTCGCGTACTATAACTAAACCAGTAACCACCGGCGGGGATCCTCACATCCCTCTTCTCGGGGCTCGTCGTGACCGTCGTCTCCGCGACGCCCTCGGACTTGGGCCGCCGCCACCGTCGCGCTCTCGATCCGCAGCGCCTCCACCGCGCCGAGCGAAAGTCCTGCCTCAGCTCCTCCACCTCGACCGAAATCCCGTGGCTCGCCGCCGTCCGGGGCCCCCCGAACTTGAATAATCCAGTCGCGATGACAATGTACAGTTGGCATGTTATGGCCGAGATTGAAAACAGAATTTCGAAGCCGCCTTCCCAGCCTCCAGTAAAAAGCCATCGCATTGGGAAACGTGAAGTGCATCCAGCGTCACGTCACCTCCCCGGCCCCCTTGACAGGTCGTGATATTTCCCGAGCCGGCATGTGCAGGAGCGGCAGTGAGGGGATGTTCGGGGGTCGGATAGCTTGGCTCCAATGGCGACATTGCCGTCCATATGCTGTTGAGTGGCTTTGCTCCAGTGCTCCAGTGCTCCAGTGCTCCACTGCTCCAGTGCTCCACTGCTCCACTGCTCCACTGCTCGCTTGCCAGATTAACGGCATAGTGGTCCTCGTGGTATATCGTCGCTTGTGTGATATATAACAATAACGACGACGACGACGACTAACATAAAACCAGTCGGTACTCGGTAATTTCGGTCAGCGTCGGTCAGCGTCGGTCAATGTCGGTCAGTGTAAGTCTCGGTCTCGGGGCGTCGGTGAGTTCGGTGAGTCGGTGAAATGACGTATGCCAACAAGCACCGTTGAAAGTCGGATCCGGGTTCTTCGGCCAACTTTTCCATTCTTGCACAACGCGAACAAGGGCTTTCGTAATGTGAGGTCACAGGGTGGAGAGGTTCCCGTCCGCCGTTGAATCCATGGATTAACGGGTAACGTCATGGTGATCCCAGATAACCACCACCAGCCATCTTTTGGGTGACGATCATGCCCAGGACTGACTCTTGGGGCTGGCTTCTGTGATGTCAGAGGCGCCAGCCTTTGCGCAGACATGAAGGGTCATGGGCTACTATTTGAAATTGATGCCCCTCGAACACCTTTTCCTCCATGCTCGTCTTCTCTCCCTTCCATCCGCAATCACTCACCCTCACTAATACAAACCACACATTTTCTAACGCTGATAATAATATCATCACCGATTACACCTGTTCATTCCACACAAAACTAGAACACACAACCGCAACAATGGGTTTCAAGGACAAGATCAAGGACGCCCTCCACCCCGACAGGGACGAAACCATCCGCGACGAAGACCCCGCCGACACGGCTCCCGGCGCATACCCAACCGACCGGGACCCCCGAAACCAGAACGCCGCTGCCGCCGCCAACCAACCCACCGGCACCTACGCACCAGGTCCGGCCGCCGCTGCTCCCGGCTCCTCCACAACCCACAGCGACAACCAACCCCCGCCAACCAGCCGCCACGTCCAGCGCGAAAACGCATCAGCAGCACCCGAATACAGCAGCCACCACCCCACCGACTCGGGCGTCGACTTTGACTTTGGCGGCGGCGACACGCGCCCGTACCAAGGCAAGAGGGAACCCCGCGAGGCGGGAAGCGGCCTCCGAAACGAAGGAGGTGCACCGCCGTACTGGGGTTCCATGGGACGGGGGGAGAACATGCCTCAGCAGCAGCAGCAGCAGCAGCCTTTCGCGCAGGGAAGGGGGGGCGGTAACGGGTTTCGCTCTGACCCTGCCGCTGGTGTATCCAAGTCGTCTCACATGATGGACCCTGATTCCTCGTCGCAGCAGCGTGGCGGTCTGCAGTCCACCTACGGGGGCGTTGATTCCCGCGGCGGCGAACAGGGCTACGACCCGCGGCTCGTTTCCGGCATGAACCCCCGGGGCCAGAGCCAAGGTTATGATCAGAAGTTGGGGGGCCAGAAGGCGGGCGGCGTGATGGGTGGTCCGATGGCCTCTTCGTCTGCGCACCAGGGCTCTCCTACCCAGCCCCAGCTCCAGGATGGTGGCATGGGGTCGGCTATGGGTGCAGGATCAGGTGCAGGTACCAAAGGAGCCGACGGATCCAGCGGTCCTGGCCAGTTCGGCCCCGGACTGGACGGTTCCAGGGTGATGCACACGTGTGAGGCCTGCGGGACGGACAATGATATCAGCCAATACTTCCGAAAAGATGCCGTTTATCGCATGGGTTAAGTGTACGAAAATAGAGGGGAGGTTGGATTTCTAGGGGCCCTTAACATGTGCGGAACGTTTGTTTTGGCCATAAAGCGAGGGGCGATTTGCCTTGGTCTATTGTCATTTGTCTTCATGTTGTCTATATAATGTAATGTAAACTGGGATGAATCCACCTTGTTAACTACGCGCCCATCCCCATCAAGCCTCTCCCAACACCGCCCAAGCCGCATAGCTAACCCAACAACAAATAACATCCCATCCCACGCTGCTCACGGCAGGATGTTCGTACAGCGTGCTCTTCACCAGTGCCCAATCGCCCCCGGCACTCACCACGCGGCTCGTGGCCACGGCGACCAGAGCCGTCATAAACCCGGCCCGGACGTACCAAGAAGGCGGGTTCAGCAAACGGGCGGGTAGGTCGGCGCGCAGCACGGCGTTGAGAAGCAGCGGCGCAAACGCGAAAACGTGCGGCCCCAGCAGCATGGGCATGAAACGCGGGCGGCCGAACTGATTCGGGATCTCGAGGGCCCAGCCGATGGTGAAGCCGAAGATGGTGGGGTACCAGAACAGGGCCGTAGAGGGCGAGAGCGAGGGCGAGGGCGAGGGCGTCTTCGTAACCTTCCCGCCCTTTCCCCCGATGTCGTCCTCCTCCTCGTCGTCGTCGTCGTCGTCGGCAGCGACGTCGTAGAGAAGGACGGCAAGGAAGAAGAGGTTCGAGGCAAAGGAGATGGCAACGACCTGGCCGAGCAGCATGAACGCCCACGCGTGCGGGATGCGTCTCTTCCGGGCCTGCAGCGCCAGCATGACGCTCCAGTGGGCGCAGAAACCAAAAATCTGCAGCGACCACCACGCCCGGGGCGGGGTCTCCAGCGTCGACGCCCACGCCTGCCGGAAGAGGGAGGTGTCGCGGAGCCAGGCGCCCAAGTAAGGCCCCGCGGACGGGTCGAGGTCGCCGCCAAAGGGGAGGAGGTGGTCCTCGGCCCAGTCGAGGTAGGACCAGCGGAAGTAGCGGAACATGTGGTACCATGTTGTCGCGAGGCTGACGGCTGCTAGGAGGGCGAAGAGGAGGGTGACGACGGGACGGGGACGGCGGGGTGGGGTATTCTTGGTCTGGCTCTGGCCGCTACTACTGGCGGTTCTGCTGCTCAGGATGATGGAGATGCACTTGGAAGTGAGGGCTGCGGCGGTGACCATGTAGCCGGTGAAGATGGCCAGGGGCCGGATGTTGGAGACGGTGGTGGCCATGATGGACGTCGGAGAAGAGGGCCAAGGGGAATGAATAGATGGTCGTCTTTCGGTGCTCTCTGTCCTCCCATGCCCCCTTTTCGCGTCTGCAGCAGCTTAGGGTGATGTCCGTAAATCTCTCCCTCTTTGATGGTACGGGCTAAGCTGCTTATGTCTTCATGGAGATGGACGGCTTGCGGGTGAATGAATGTACGCGTCATTAACCGGGGGGGCACTGCCACCGTGGTAAATGCGAATGCGAGGGAAAATGCAAATGTCAATGTGAAGAGGGTTGGGAATTTGAATGCATGGAGTAATTACGATGAGAAGAAGAGAAGAAAAAGGCCTGGGCATCGGTGAAGCTCAAGGTAAGATCGCGAAGACCTGTACGTACAAGTACGTACCGTGCAAGTACCCGCGTACCTAAAGCGGGGAGGCAGGATATGCAATAGTTGAGCTTACTAATATCTGCTTAGTGAGCGATCTGAGCACGGTGGAGCGTCGAATGTCGATCGGACCAACTGACGTCCCGACCCGACACGCCGACCACGTCGACGTCACACTCAGCCACTCCCCCTAAGGGTCCACTAACGGCCGCTAACATCCAGCTTGGACCACTAACGTTGCCCTGGTCTTGGAGCCCAGCCCCTGGAGTCCCTCCCCTGAAGTGGCTGTTCCCCCTGAACTATTTCGCAGGTGACAACTCAATTACTTCGGAGTTAGTACAGATGCAGACATTTTCTGTCTCGGCTTTTTCACTCTGGGCCCAAGCGGCGAAGGCCGGACGCGGTCTACCGGGAGAGAAATCGTGTTTATCATTGGCGTCATGCCGTCTTGTCGCTTTGTCTTGCTTTCTTTAAATGTATTGGGCTTTTTCTTTTCTTCGCAGAGACGTTACAACCCTGGATTCTGAACTTTCGAGACCCAGGACAGTCCGCCTTGAGAAGTGAAGGAAGAAAGAATTTGAAAAGGAAGGCAAAGAAAACTGGCGGACTTGAGAACAATCAACACAAGAATCCTGTCTTTCGCAAGCCTGCTTTTCCTGAAGCACCCCGACTGGAATCATGGGCCAGAAGGAAGCCCGAGGGACCGAGGATGGCCGTCATCCTCGCCAAACCCGCGTCGCCATAGTCGGCACCGGCTTAGCAGGCCTCACCACAGCCTATCTCCTCCACAATGACGACCGAAAACGTTATGCCGTCACCCTTTTTGAACAGGTAAACACCCCCCCCCCCCCTTTTTTTTTTTTTTTTGTCTCTTCTTCTTGTAATGCCAACTATCCAGAACCAAAGACCCCGGAAACTAACTTGAAACTCCAGTCTGACCGTCTCTCCTTCGACTCGGCATCCGTCGCCGTACGAAACGAAGAGACCGGCTCAGTCGAGCGCGTCGACCTGCCCATGCGTGCCTCGGCAGGAGGCTACTACGCCAACCTCTTGCGCATGTACTCCCACCTCTCCATCCCCCTACACCCCGTCCGCTTCCTCTTCGTCTTCGCCAAGGCCCTGTCGTCCTCCGCGACCTCACCCCAGCCCTCCTCCCATCATCCGGGCTCGAGTGCCGCCAACAACCTAGCAACGAGCGCGCCGGGAACCTACTTCGTCCACGCCTCCAACCTGCACCAAACCCCACCCCCCTGGCCCGGCTCCCGCCCCGTCCTCCTCCACCTCCTCGAGACCCTCTACCTCATCGTCTGCCAGTTCTGGTTCACCGCGGCCTGCTTCCTCGTGGGCCCGCAGCCCTCCGAGTCCCTGGGCGCCTACCTGTCCCGCGTCTGGCTGCCCCGTCGCTACGTCTCGCACTACCTGCTGCCGCTCATGAGCAGCGTCTCCACCTGCTCCCACGACGAGATGCTGGCGTTCCCCGCCAGCGACGTCGTGGCCTACAAGCGCCTCTCGCACGGCCAGCAGCATTACGCCGTGTGTGGCGGCGTGCGCCAGGTCCAGGCCCGTCTGGTGGCCGGGTTGCGGGACGTGCGGCTCGGTGCGCGCGTGGTGGAGGTGGTGCCGCGTGACGCGGGGAAGAACGGGACGAGAGGCAGTGCGGGGGTGACGGTACGGTGGCGGCCGGCGAACAAGCAGTGGGTTGAAGGGAAAGGGGTAGAAGACGAGACCAAAGAGGAGACGTTCGACCGCGTCGTTTTGGCCGTTTCGCCTGACGTAGCCGCACGCATTTTCCGTCCTCTGCGATCTACGCTCGCTCAGCTCCCGACCGTATGGGTGGAGACTTCCGTGTTGCGGCCAAGCATCATCCCCGCCTCCTCCTCCTCCTCCTCCTCCTCATCATCATCATCATCATCAAAACGCGAAGGAACCGGCGGCCCGGAGACCTACTACCGCTTAATCGACAAAGACAACGACAGCGAGAGTCAACCAGGCGGAGAAGAAGAAGGCTGCATGCACCACCACCTCGTCGGCGCCGACGCGTCTCCCCCGCCCCAGTCGATCACTTTTCGCACGCGCTTCTCCGAGGCCGGGTCTCGGTCGGAGGTCCTTCACGTCATGCCCAGCGGAGTCGTGGTGAGCACGTGCCCCTTCGATCCCGATGCCGACCGGAAGAGGACGTTGCAGACGGCGCGGTTCACGCGGACCTTGCGAACGGTCCAGAGCCGGGCCATCGTGCAGAGGATGCTGGGTGAGACGGACGGAGTAGCGGCGGAGGGAGGCGCGGCGGGATGGGTCAGTGGGGAGGACGATGTTTGGGTGACGGGCGCTTGGTGCTGGGACGGCATGGTTCTGCTGGAGGGGTGTATCGTGTCGGCTATGCGAGTGGCCCGTGATTTTGGTGTGCGTGTCCCTTGGGAGAGCGCATCTTTGCGGTAATGAGTACATGTGTGCATTTTCATGAGCATCTAGAGACCTTGGCGATGCCTCGGCCTTCAAACCAATGAAGGCATGACGCAATGACTAATGGGAAGATGGAAGAGGTATATATATAATACATAAATTTCTATGCTATTACATTTATTACATCTATTTACATTCAAATAGCGAAAGGGCCCGTCTTGTTCTTGATATATAAGTCTCGTCGTCACCCTGCTGTGTTCACACATAGGTACTTTTTACAGATCTACTTTGTCCTCCGTACCTACCTACCCGGGTTTGGCTGGTTATAGGTCGGAGCCCGATGGACTGGTCAGATGTCGCAAGTCTTAGAACATTATGTTGACAGCGATATCTCTGTCCTGGCTCTGGTCAGTGCAGAATTCTCTGTTCGAGCTCTGACCTATAACCCCCCCTAACCGGGTAGGTAGGTAGGTAGGTACCTCGACCTCCGGTACCCAATACAAGTAGTGATCGGTTATAGGGTTAACATTGGATAATTGCAAGATTTGCGACTTTCTCGGTGTCGACCCTCTTATCCGAGTCCTTTAAGACGACGAGGACCGGGACTTCTCAACCTACGTTCTTCGGCGTTGACCCAAATATCATATTCTCTTCCATATTCCATTCTCTCTAGACCGTTGTGGCCATGGTGTCGCTCACGGCATCACAGGGCCTAGCCATAGGCTTTGTCGGAGGCGCAGCGGCGACAGTTGTTCTCATTGCCCTCGCCGCCTTCGTTTTCCTACGCACAAGCGACATCTACGGCCTGGCGCATTGGAAGCTCAATATCCGGACACCACTTCCTTCTATGTGGATGAATGTGGGATACTGGTATTTCTTCCCCAATTTCCTCTTTTCTTCTCGTATTTTTATTTTATTTATCTTTTTCTAGACAAGAAATTAGAAAAAGATCCACACACAATTCCTGGAATGCTTACAAGATCATACAGGAAGAAGCAAGACGGCGAACGCATCATCCACTTCGACGAGGCAGCCGCCAACCTGCTCAAAGAAGTCGTGAGCACCGCAGGCCTCTTAGACCGCGACGCCGCCGCCCGCCGCTCCAAACGCAATGAAGCACTCGCTATCCTGGACCTTGGCTTCGGCTGCGGCGACCAAACCTGGGAACTCGCCCGCATGGTCCGGTCCGGAGGCTGGCACGACTTCCGCTACGTCGGCCTCACTCTAAACGAGGCCCAGGTGCAGACGGCCTCACGCAAGATCTGCCGCGAAATAGCTACCTTGGACACCCAACTCGAACACCCTGACGAGACCACCACGACCGCTACCCCCACCACCCCCACAACTTCGTCCGGCCTGACCCTCCGTGTCGACGCATTCCACCTCTTCCGCGCCGACGCCGCCCGCCCAACAACCTGGTCCCCTCGCGTCCGGGAAGCAGTCGACTCCCTATCCGACGACGAAAACGGAAACGACCGCACCACCACCTCCCGGTGGCTCCTCGCCCTCGACTGCCTGTACCACTTCTCGCCCTCGCGCGGCCCCGTCTTCGAATACGCCGCGCGCCGCCTCCACGCGAACCTCATGGCCTTCGACCTGCTCCTCAGCGAGACCGCCCCGGCCCGGGACGTCTGGGCCGCCCGCGCCGTCGGCGTCTTCATGGGCTGCCCGCTGCGCACGTTCGTCACCGAGGCCGAGTACCGCGACCAACTCGTCGCCTGCGGCTACGACGGGGAGTCGGCCACCATCCGGGACGTCACAGACGACGTGTTCGCCGGGTTGGTGGCTTTCCTGGACCGGCAGGAGCGGGCGTTGGGACAGTACGGTATTTCGTTGGGCGGGTTCAAGCTAGCTGCGAGATTGTTCCGCTGGTTTGCCGAGTCGAGGGTTGTTAGAGCCGTTATAGTCGTAGCTCATCCCAAGGAGAAATGAACGTAATATTGGCATCTTCCCCATGGTGACCACCTGGCGGCGTGCCTGGTACATCTTTTCCCAACCCCTTTAAACACATAAAGGTGCCCGTCTTATGAATAAATCGAAGTCTATGCGGCTAAGGCGAACTCTTATCCTCAGGCCGTGGTCCGTGCATGGCGGGGCATCCATCTTCACCACCTCCAGCGGGTGTCACTTTGTAACTCGTAAACATTCACTCCCGTCGGCAACGACAACAACACCATCCATCCCATCAAGATACCCATGCACCGACATACAAACTCGAATTGCCGATACCAAGTGCCTGGCCAACAACGGTAGAGGAAAGAAAGAAATAAACCCGCCCCCCAGAACAACCAAAACGAAACCAGAACGGACACGAAATGTCCAACCAAGCAAGCTACGCAGACTGCGTCTCCTCCCTCACCCACTCCCTAAGCTTCCTGACCTCCGCCGTGCAAACCCTCGAATCCGCAACCTCCGACCTCCCCCGCCTCGCCACCGTCCTCCAAACAACCCGCCACTACGAGCTCATCCCCTCCGCCCGCCTCGCCGCCGCCGAAGCCTCCCTCCGCGACGAGATCGGCCCCTCCATCGCCCTCCTCCTCGACCGCGCCGAGGCCCAGGTCGACCGCCGCGACCGCCGCATCGAAACCCTCAAGGCCAGGTCCGACCTGCTCGCCGGCCGTCTCGCCGCCGGGGACTCCGAATCAACAGCTACCGCCCATGGGTCCGGGTCCAGGTCTCGGCCCAAGTCGGCTGCTGCTGCGGGGGCGGGGGAGAGGCGGCATACCCTCGCGGGCGAGCGGGGGCTGAAGGCTCGTGCGGTGCGTAGTCGGAAGGAAGGGTTGAAGTATAGTGTGGAGAGGTTGGAGCTGGAGGTTTCGCAGAAGGAGAGGGAGTTGAGGAAGAGGCTCGAGAAGGCTTCGTGAAAACCGTCTTCCTCGCCTTGGGATTCTGCACCGATTGGAGGTCCTGGGACGGGATTTTCTTCGGGCCCACCCCCCCCCCCCCCCCCCCAACACAGGGAACAGGGAACACGACAGCCGTGGCGTATGGCATGCACCAAGAGGATATCAGCAATTCTTCAGCAAGCCATGGATACTATCTAAACAAAAACCCGACTGAACCGCACCGGAGCGGGTATACGAGACCGAGCCATGAGCTCTAACGAGAAGAGCATTTATACCGGCAAGACCGCATAGACCATAGCCGATGAATGACCAACCCAACAGCCACAATCACGGTATTTCCACCATGGAGGCAAATGGACGGACGATAGTACGAAGCCGCTTTGAACTTTCAATCAGGCGTCATGTTCGAGTCAAATCACCGGGATGATACACAAGAAAGATGGAACATCGATCAGCAGAAACTCGGGGTATTCCATCCACAAGAGACTATCAGAACCATATCACTGATCACCGGTCATATTGATCGACCTGTTCCCTCATAAAATCACAGTCCATGCCCTCGCCACTCCGAAGAGGAGACACATGCCGCGTCCATCCAACCGCCTATCCTCCGGTGCGCCTATCCTCCGGTGCGCCCGTCCGCCCGTCCGCCCGCATCAGCCACGACCAATTTTTAATCAATGTGGTCCATCGCCCCGCGAGGCGCCCGGGCCAAGCAATGGGCTCGGCGTATGGCAGTAGAAAGTAGGTAGCATAAGCAGCAACAATGGTCCGACAATAAAAGACGGGAGAAAAGAGACAACTGGGAATAACGGTGTCGTCTGGACCTTGGCGTTTCGGATCATTGCCGTGTGGTTTTGCGTTTTGCGTATTGCATGGTGCTCCCGTCCCCCGAAAACCTGAAAGGTACTCCAATGCCCACAAGCCCAGCCGCAAGTAAATTTCAACACCGCGCTCGTCGTCCAGTCGAACACGAAGCTCGCCGTGGTATCACCAGGGGAATTGTCCTGTATAATTCCCCTCCTTCTCTCCAGGGATTGGCTCAAGGAATCGAAAATGGCAACAAGAGAGGAAAAGAAGAAAGAAATGAGAAACAAAAAAAAAAAAAAAAAAAAAAAAAAAAAAAAAAAAAAAAAAAAAAAAAAAAAAAAAAAAAAAAAAAAAAAAAAAAAAAAAAAAGTGAAAAACAAAAATAGGTCGTCAACTCATAGCAAAATCAGGTAATTGCTGGGGGCGATGCCCGTTTCGCCGTTCTCCTTGCGTGCTTGCCACCACCGACCGCTCACGTCGCTGACCTCCAAAATCTCGTGCTTGCTGAAGGAAATTTCGTTGGAGTCGTCAGGATTGGCTTCGTAGCTGTAGATGGCCTTGGCATGATACGGGTACTCGGTGGGTGGGCCGACTTCCTGATCCTGGCCTACGGGTTTGGTCGCCGGGGCCGTGGACGCGCTGACGTTGGTGGGGTTGGACGAGTTGCGAGCTTGGGACTGGGAGACGCCGGCGACGGGCGAAGGATTTTCGAATCCGTTGAGCTGTGCCGACGTGTACATCTGGGGAGGCTGCACGGAGGTGGAAGTCTCGGGGCGGCCGCCTCCGTAGTTCATGGTATGCCGGGCGGCCGACTCCTTCTGCAGGGCGAACGAGTCGATGTATGCGCGGGGCGAGGCAGACGGCGCCGAGCCGAAATAGAATATCCATACAAACTATTCCCAGATCGCATGTTAGCAAGACATGTGGCGCATGGTATACAAATACAAACGACGGCTCGAGAGGTGATCTGATCATCCACCCCAAAAGGGTCCGAGTGGGGCAGGAACGTACCGTCACAATGGCCAGGAGAATGAAGCCTGCGGAGGCAGCCTGGAGAGCACCCTGCGAGGAGTAGACGATGGAGTTGATGAGCACGGACAGCATGGCGAGACCGGCAGCGAGATAGGCCGACAGGGCGGCGTGATATGTCTGAATGGTATCGGCGGCGACGACGAAGAAAACGCCGAGAATGAGGATGAGTTCGTATATTAGGACCCACCACGCGTAGGAAGGGTATGGGCGTTCTGCACGTGCTTGTACGGCGGAAACGACGGAAGCGATAAATGCGATGGTCCAGGCGAGCTATCCAGGCGAGGCGGCAGGTTAGCAAACGCAATGAGAAGGAGGTGCCGCTTTGGCTAGGCGATGACACAAAGAGAAAACCCACCATGGCAATGGAGGTTGTTGCAAGGGCAAAAGGGTCGCCGATGACGTTGCCCATGTTAACGCCCCTCCGGCCGTAATGAGCCCTTGAGTTGTCCATTTTCTTCAACGATGGAGAGCGCAGGGAGCCGTAGGGCTGCATAAGGGAAGAGCTCGGTCGCGGTTCGGTCGATCGCGAGACGGCGTAGCGTATTTCCGGGACTTTACAGTGGCGTCCCGTCGACTTATGAGCGCGATTCTAGTCGGTCAAGATGTGGCCTTGTAAGACTCGGATGAATGATTGGCGATATCGAATGTTACCAAGGGTGCATTTGCATTGGTGTCCGAATAGGTGTCGCGGCGTCGATTGAATTGAGAATCGCTGCCAGGACTGACTGCGCCGTCGACTTTGATGTCCTGGAGATGTGCGTCGGCCAAATCGGGGGTCGGAATCGAGTCGTATGTGGTGGTTCGGAGGTGAAGGAAACGAAGAAGGAATCGGAGACAAAGCAAAGGAGAAAGAGAAACGCTTCCACTGGTCGGGAAATGCAGTGCTCTTTTTTGTTTCCTCGGCTGGATCGGGAGGGATGCGCAGCAATACGTCCTCCTGGGTCGGGGGTGGGTTCTTTTGTTTTTGATATTTTTCTTTTTCTTTCTCTTTCTCTTTCTCTTTCTCTTTCTCTTTCTCTTTCTCTTTCTCTTTCTCTTTCCTCTTTCCTTATTGTGCGGCGTCAGCACAAAGGAATTGACGAAGATGACAAAAAAAAACTGGAAGCGGGAGCGAAGATAAAGCCAAGATGAAGATGAATGACACTCGGTGTCTCGATGGAAACAATGAAACGGGTGCAGATATCCCAAGAACCGAACAAAAAAGGCACGGCCAGTCGAATGAAAAGGTGTTGGCGGCTTGAAAAAGGAAAAAGAGTCGGGTAAAGGGTGGCGTTGATGGTAACGGCGGTGGTGGGAGGAGAAAGAATGGAATGAACGGTTGACTACTTGGATAGGGGATGCGAGGAGCAAAGAGCGTTGAAATGGCTGGGTTTGGCGTGCGGAGCTGTGTAATGAGTGTAATCAGTGTAATGAGCGTAATGGGAAGGGTCGACTGGTGGAAGGTGGTGCGAAAAAGGCGAAAAGGGTGATTCCGTGCAGGGGCCCTTGTGGGAAACTGGAATGCTGGGGCCAGGAAGGGGGCTGTGCGTCTACGAAGCACGAAGTACTTTGTACAGGTGTGTACCTCAAGTGACTTCCATTCGTGAGAGAAGACGCCGGTTCTTCACGTTCTTCAGAAAGGATTGCAGATTGTTAAAAGCTTGCAGAAGACAATGCGCCTCCTTGCGTTGTCTCACCGAAACACGTCGGAGGATGGGGGGAGTTCTGGGAGGAGAAGAAGCGACAAAACAAGCGGAGTGCTAACGCCCTCGCAGTTGGACAAGGACAAGATGTGGGAAATGAATGGATCCCACGGAACTTGGATAAGGGTGGGGACTGAAGATGTAGGTACTTCGTACTTTAAGGAACGCGACGACACCACGAATTGGAATGCCAGGGAGAGGTCTTCTTCGTGCTGTGCGTGAGGTGACTCTATGTACCTAGGTACTGATTACTTTGTAGAGGTCGGGGTTGTATTCGTACCGAGGACATGCAGCAGTCGGGGGATGGCGTGTCGCACCACTGGCCAAGGTACCCGCCAACGCTACGCTACCTTGGACGCGAATACATTGCCCGTACAGTGTGAGTTACCCGAGTGTTACTATGCGGCATAGTCTAACCTAAGGTAGCCGACATGTCGCAAATGGTCTAGAATCACACAGTAGAAAAAGGCAACCTGGGTAATATCGCACGGTAATTTTGTAGTTTCACACCGTCTTAATTGGCCTAATTTCGCCTTCTTGGGTATAATGCCGATGTTTTTGTAAAGCCTCCGATTGGCGATTGGCGATATAACAGTGTCCCGTTTCCCCAGCTTGCGTCTCTCTTTAATTCTTACGAATACCACCCACCCATCGTGCACCCAACCCAGCCATGACAGTGACGACGCAGGGGAAGTGACGAGCGCCACCCTTGTGCGTTTCATTCGCCGTCGGCGCACCTGCTCGGCCGAGATGGGCCATTCCCGCGGACCTCCTGGTGGTCACGAGAGCTTGGTACAACTTCGTCCCAGCCGGAATCAGTCTGTTTGACTGGCTCAGACATCTTCCCGAGTTTGTTGTGCAAAGTGGTACATTCGACTCTGTACATACCCGAAACGCATGTCTTTTGAGCCTGTCCACCACCTGGAGGAGCGGACTCGACGAAGACCTCTGCTGAAGCAGGAGGGACAAAGCGATTCCCCCCGCACCGAACGAAGATGTCACCTACTCCGTACCACGGCCACCCTATCTCGGTAGTGCGAGGGGATAGGGCTGACGAGGCCTTTCCCGCGATGACCAACTAGACCTGCGTTTCGCACTTTAATGGGGAATTGAGGCCCGGCGATGGCAAGCGTCAGCCGGTAGGGGTAAATCTTGACCACTGTGCTACAGTAAGGCAGTGTTCACGGTTCATGCTGTTGTTAGGCTAGCATCTTAGGCCGAGATTAAGTTGCCTGTTATTCTGCGCCGTGCTGGCCGCTAAGAGATGCGGATTCTCGCTCGATCACGGAGGTTTACTATCGCTTGGCCATTTCGACAGCCAAAAGAGTCGACACAAGCGTAGATCGGGAAACTGAAGAACATGATTCGGTTCTCGTCGATCGACCTCCCCACGCAACCCTTTTTTGACCTCATCTATATCGTCTGCGCTCTTTGTCTCCCCCTCCGTACGGAGATGGGTCAGCATATCATGATGGAATCGTGCGAATAGGATCAGCTGACTCACACGTTCCTCGGGCGGCGCCGCCTTTCCGAATCCAACGAGAGGTTCTTATGAGACTCTCTGTAGTCGAAGCAATGCTTTGCGCTCTTGCGCTTCTGTTGCGCCGTTGCTTGCAGGCACCCAAACCCACCGCCGTGTCTCCAGAGCCCCCCCTTCCCCATAACGGAGTCTGAGCGGCCGCCATTATTACAACGGTAAGTGCTAGCGTCTTTCCCGTCTCGCCTGCTCGTCAAGATCGATTCTCTTCCCAGAGAGCGCCGTCCGCCGCCTCTCTCTCCCTCTCCCTCTCCGCCCTCCTGATGCGGCGCTCCACCTTCTCGGCGCGTCCCTCCACATCGGCAACGAATCGCGAAGCGGCCAGCACGCCGTCCTCGTACCAGCTCTGGATGACGGCCTCGCTCCGCGCTCGCAGCTCCGCCATCTCTGCCGCCTGCACGCGTTGCGTGGCCTCCACGCCGCGCATTCGGGGGGCCAGGGACGCCAGGGCGGCGCTCTGCGCGGGGTCTGGGACGGGGCAGTCGGAGACTGATGTCAAGGAGGAGGCGATGGCGGGGAAGCTGGCGGCGGAGGCGATGACGGTGGCGCGGATGGCTTCGGCGGGTAGGTCGATGGGTGGTTGGTCTGGGGGAGGGGGGTGGAAAAGAGTCGGATGCACCTTGTCTGGGAGGGTGGGTTTGTGTTAGGTTTGGTTCACGCGCTCTTTCCCCTGTGGTTTCCAAACAGAGGGCGGCTCGTTTGGAGAGGGTAGTTGGAGAGGACAACACAACCTACAGATCTTCATGAGCTCGCCATAGACTTTAATCCGGCCCAGAAGGGCGTAAAACCGACGTTCTAAACTCTCTAGGGCCTCGGCTGCGGAGTCTTCGCGGGATGATTGTGAGAAAGTAGGAGCGGCGGACGGGCCGTAGAGAAGATGCTCGATGCGTAGCAGACGCGCCTCTAGGAGGGAGAGCGTCGACAGGGTGGTGTTGTCTAATGTGACGTCCATGTTCTGGGCTCTGTAAATTGTAGGCAAGCTGACCAACAAGAAGACGACTTTTGGAAAAAGAGGTCCTCCTAGAGAGTATTGAACGCGAAGTTGAAGCTGCGAAGTAAATAATTACAACACGAAAAGAGGGATCTCGAGCTGCCACACGAAGTACCAAGTATTCTATACGGAGTACGGAGTACCAGTACCTGCGTCGGTGGCTTAGCAGGACGGGACAATGCTGACAAAGCCATTTCCTGTGGCTTGTTTCCCTCAGGTTCCGGCATCCAGATGCCGGGCCAAGACGATTTATTTGATTTTAGCCGTTAATTATTCTAAAACATGACAACTCGACCCTCTTCTCCCGCCCTGTCCTACAAGTACGGATATCACGACAAGCCCCGACTTTAGCCTACCTTACAGGTAGCATCCTAGCCTCGTACCACGCTGTCCCTTTTACCAACGCACTTCAAATCAAATCACAAGGCGGGAGCGGTGGACGGCAAGACCAAAAAGTTTAACAACTCGACCGGCGGACCGTTAGACTTCGATAGCAGACGAAGAGACGAAGAGACGAAGCCCACCTGACTGACTGTCTTGTCTTGACGCATTGGAAAGTCAGGAGAACCGCGGGGTGTAGCGTTCGCACGGCACTCCAAGACCACCACCATCGACATCACGCCTCTCTACATATCTAATACATCGCCGACTCCCTCAGGGTTTCAGGAGGCAGGACACCCGTTGGACTGGAAAGGGGAAAAGGTGGTACGACGACAGCCACAGCCACAGCCACGGCCACGGCAACAGCAACGACAGCTCTGGCTCCTCTTCCGCACAACTACGACACGACTGAAGAGCACGTCAAAACGAAATCGACCACATCAAGTGTTCCGCTGGCTTCTCCCGCTCGCCGCGCGCATTGCGCCGACCCTAAATGACCACCTACGCCGCAATCTCTGATGGCAGTGCTGGTCCCTCTGCAAGACCAAGCTCCGACGAGATGCCACGGTACGCCTCACAAAACCCCCCTTCTTTCTCAAGTTCGATTTCTAATACAGATACCCCAATGAGTAGGTCACGAAGGAGAAACTGGGAAGGCGCTGGCCAGGCCTCCATGCTCAGCAGTATCATAAATCTGCTAAATACAAGTGCGTACTTGCGAACCGGTTTCAACAATGGGTGAAAGGTGGTGCTTTGTCCATTCAGACCGCCGGATAAACTGACAAATTGAACCACAGTCGTGGGTGCCGGCACCCTGGCCATGCCGTCCGTTCTCTCCCACATGGGCATTGTGCTGGGTTCCATCATGATCGTCTGGTCTGGCCTCACCGCCGCCTTTGGTCTCTACCTCCAAGGCCGTTGCGCTCGCTACCTCGACTGCGGGCGCTCCTCCTTCTTCGCCATATCGAAGCTCACCTACCCGAACGCCGCCGTCTTCTTCGATGGAGCCATCGCCGTGAAGTGCTTTGGCGTGGGCGTCTCGTACCTCATCATCATCGGCGACCTGATGCCCAAGGTGGTCCTGGGCTTCGACAGCAGCATCCCCGAAACCCGCCCCTACCTCGTCCAGCGGGACTTCTGGGTCACCGCTTTCATGCTGCTCGTCATCCCGCTGAGCTTCCTGCGCAAGCTCGACTCGCTCAAGTACACCAGCATCGTGGCCCTCTTCTCCATCGGCTATCTTGTCATTCTCGTCGTCTACCATTTTGGCACCGGCCCGCTCGCGGATAAAAACGACCTACGCATCGTGCAACCGCAGAGTGCTATCGCCTTTCTGAGCAGCTTGCCTGTGGTTGTATTTGCCTATACATGTCATCAAAACGTGAGCTGCACACCTTGTGTTTTTCTTTTCTCTTATTTTCTTCCTTTCTTCTTTTTTTTCCCTTTTTTCCTTTTTTCCCTTTTTTCTTACCTCGGCCTTGACCCAGCGCTGACCATGGAACTCTTTTTCCTCTAGATGTTCTCGATTCTCAACGAAATCAAGGACGCCTCCCCCGGTAGCATCGTCGGCGTCGTGGGCACGAGCATTGGTTCTGCTGCCAGCATGTACGTCCTCGTAGCCGTGACTGGCTACCTCACATTCGGCAACAAAGTCACTGGCAACATTGTGTCGATGTGTAAGTACATTATTCCGTCGCCCTAGAATAGAAGAAGCCTGCATCCTATCAGACAAGTTGTCTAACTCCTCCTGCCCGCCAACAGACGACCCGTCCCTTGCTATTCTCATAGGCCAGCTCGGCATCGTCCTCCTTGTCACCTTCTCCATCCCACTACAGGTCCATCCATGCCGGGCCTCAGTGGACGCCGTCCTGAAGTGGCGTCCCAACCGCGGCCAGAACAACCCCGGCGCCCGCGCCAACTCCCCGAACAACGACCTCCCCCTCCTCAACCCGGCCGTCGCACCCGGCTCGGCCCGTCCCGACTCCGCAGCGGCGCCCATGAGCGACACGCGCTTCGCCCTGCTCACCTCCGTCATCCTTGTCGCCAGCTACCTGGTCGCCCTCTCGGTGTCGAGCCTGGAACGCGTGCTCGCGTACGTCGGCAGCATCGGGTCGACCAGCATCAGCTTCATCCTGCCGGGCCTCTTCTACTACAAGATCAGCGACCCGGAGAGCATCCACCACCAGCGTCTCTTGAAGGAAGACGACGACGCCGGCGACATGCTCGCCTCCGACGACGACGACGACGAAGAAGCGGACCCGGCCCTGGCGAACAGCATCCAGAGCATCCGCAGTGCCGCCAGCGTCGCCCTCGACCCCCGCAAGTGGCGGAGGCGGTGGAGGTGGGACCTGGAGCACCTCGAGCACGACTTGCTGCGGAAGCTGGCCATCGGCTTGGCCGGCTATGGCGTGATCGTCATGGTTGTCTGCTTGACCATGAACTTGGTATTCGAAGCCTCTCACTGAAAGGGGAGGTCTATAGC